AAAGGTTCTTTGAATGGCTCTACTTCAGTAATGAATATGTACTGTTATTGATTTAAATGGCAAGAGTCTATAAGCTTTAATGTCAGGCTTGAAACAAGACCATGAGTAACTAAGCTTCATTCTTAATTCCCAGTTGCAATTCAAAAGATGTGTTTATAAAATACAGTTAACTTATTTTCAGTTATCACATGAACTTTCTCATGATGTTATGATCAAAAGAACCATGCTATCTCAGGCTATAAATCTCTGCTGTATGTGGTATCACAGGTCTGCCAAAAGGCATAATGAAAGTTTATTTGGTTCAATGAAACCATGAAAGCATCTAGTGTGATACACACAGTACTGCCCAATCAAAGGGATCAGCATGCTAAGAGTCTAAGCTGGCAAATGAGTTTCTGTCTAGGGATCAGAAGGGAAGAGTACAGACCAAAAAAAAAAAAAAAAAAAAAAAGCAAAAAAGCCACCAAAATAACGGTGACATTCTTCTATCAGTCATACAAGTCTTAAGAAACAGCCAGCACATGGAATCACTGCTACAGGAATGGATTTGGGTCCTGTTGCAGTAATCAGAAACGGTCAATTTTCGTTAGTTGTCCAGGGGAAATCTATTTTGTGCCAGTTCTACAGCTGACAGATGCTACTTACCCGTCCAAGCTGACCAGCACAACCTGGAGTCAAAAGTCTGCTCCATCATTTGCACTTTCTCCAGCGGTTTTAGAGAGGTATTACTGGAACCTCGGACACCCTCCCACACTGTACACCCACCGCTGGCCGGAGCTGGGCCAGTGAGTGATGGACCTGTGTTGGAGCAGTTTTTGAAGAACTGCAGCCTGTGGGAAGCCCACGTAGGGTCACCTCAGGAAGGATGGCATCCCATGGGAGGGACCCCATACTGGAGCAGGGGATGAGAGTGACCATGAGGGAGCGGCAGATGATAAAATGTTACAGACTGACATCCACTATTCCTTGTTCCCCTGCACTTCCCAGGGGTAGAAGTGGGTAGATGGGAGGAAGGTGGTTTTAGTTGGCTTTTAGTTGGCTTTTAGTTGGCTTTTAGAGTCTCACTGCTCTGGTCTATTAGTAACAGACAATAAATTATATTAATCTCCCATTGAACCTGTCTTGCCCATGACAGTAATTGGTGAGTGATCTCCCTGTCCTTATCTCTCATTTTCTTAGCCTCTTTTCATTGTATTTTCTCCCTCTTTTCCTCTAAAAAGGGGAAGTGAGAGAGTGGTTTAGTGGATTTTAGCTGGTGATCAGTGTGAAACCACTATAGTTCAGCAACAAATAACACTTAAAATGTCTCTCTTTGCTGACCTTTCCTTTTGAGACAAGCATTTGGCCTCCCTCTGTACTGCACATTGATCTGTTTCCCACAGAGCTCTCAATACTTGTTTTTTTTTTTTTTTTTTTTTTTTTCTGAGACTGCTTTCTCCTCCTGTCCTTTTCCTTCCTCCACTATAATTGACCTCTCTGGTTTGTGTTCCTTCACTATGTATCTTTTTCCTTTTCTTCCATTCTTCCAAGATCTTCCATGGCTCAGCTCTGCTACCTGCTACAACCACTACAGCTTTACCCAGTACTGCTAACTGAAATCCTATGACTGGCCTTTTTCCACTACAAGTTCATCAACTCTTTCAGTTCTGATATCTTCACAGAAATATCACTCTATATCTTAATGAAATCCACTCTTATAGAACCACAGCAAGGGTGGCATGAGGGGTTTGTAACATTCACTTCAGTATTTCAGCAGCACTGGCTTCCAGCTCAAAAGCATTTAGAATATTTCAAATCCTGCCTACAGATAATCCTTTTGAGCTCTGCAAAATACCAGAACATTACTTTGCTAAATATTCATCGTGTAGAGGGCAGCAAAACATTCTATTTGTCCAACTTCCTATCCAGCACACAACGTACTGTCTCAGACAGTCTCACATGCCATTATGAAGAAAATTATGCTGTCTTAAATCTATATAATTCCCAAGTCTACCTTTATGGAAATCATAGAACTGCATTGCAAGAGACACAAAAATTATTCCTACTGTTTGTGCAGCAGTGTAAATGTGACTAACACATTACCACAGAAGGAAGAGAAAGCATTTTTTTCATGGGAAATCCAATATAGACTGAAAAAGATTCTATAAAATGAACACTGCATTATTAAAAAAAAAAAAAAAAAAAAAGCAGTGGTGGCATTACTACAGTTTTTAACACAATTTAAATCAAACTTTGGACATTGTAATATACATACATTCCAAAATGTGTTTATCTGATCAGAGCATTGCAAATGATTGTACAATTAAGATCGCACAATTAGGAGTAAAGTCTAGCAAGATTCATTTGTTCTATTTGTGCAATGGGAATAATCAAGGTGTGTTAAGGAAACAAAATACAAAAGCCCCTAGCACAGAATCACAGAACGGTTTTGGTTGGAAGAGACCTCTGGAGGTCATCTGGTCCAATCCCTCTGCTCAAGAAGGGACACATAGAGCAGGTTGCCCTGGACCTGTTTCAGGTCTCAGTCACCTGCAATAAATAGAGTAAGAATAAAGTGCTTCCTGATGATGTTCAGATGATACCCCTTGTGTTTCAGTTCTTGCCCATTGCCTTTTGTCCTGGCACTGGGCACCACTGAAAATAGCCTGGCTCTATTCTCTCTGGACCCTCCCTACAGGTATCTATGTACAGGTATAAGATCCCTCCTGATCCTCCCTTTTCCCTAGGGAAAACCCTAGAGGAGGGACTCTTTTTCAGTGTGTAGTGACAGGACAATGGGTAACAGTTTTAAACTTAAATAAGGTAGTTTTAGATTAGATATTACGAAGAAATTCTTCATCATGTGGATGGTGAGGCACTAGAACAGGTGCCCAGAGAGAAGCTGTGGCTGCCCCATCCCTGGAGGTGTTCAAGGCCAGGCTGGATGGGGCTTTGAGCAGCTTGGTCTAGTGGGAGGTGTCCCTGCCCATGGCAGGGGGTTGGAACTAGATGGTCTTTCAGTTTCTTTCCAACCCATGCCATTCTATGATTCTGTGATTCTATGTTAAACAGGAGTGAAACTGGTATTCACCTCTGGGGTACACTGCTAGTTTGTGGTCTCCATGTGTGCATTCCTCCCAGGTTGCCCCTGCTTGCTTCCACCAACTGTATGCTTCCTTTTTGTGTCAGGAGCTCATGTTCATCCATACAAGCCTGCTGACATTTTTACCTGGCTTCCTATTTATTGGGATGCACAGTTTTTCTGCTTGTATGAGGTAATTGTTGAATATTAACTAGCTTTCTTGGACCCCTCCTACCTCCAAGAGCTTATCCTACAGGATTCTTCCAAGCAGATCTTTGTAGAGTCCAGGGTTATGAGCAAGGTTTTCAAACTCCTCTCTGCCCTTAGGATCCTGAACTCCACCGTCTCATAATAGTCTATCTTGACTCTTAAATCCCAATCTGAATGAAAATTGCTGGAAGGTAGAAAAATGTATTGTTTTGAAGAGTTTTATATAAGATCTTTAAAGAAGATGAATCATGCCAAACTCTTGTTGTTGTTGTTATTGTTTTCCAACCAAAACATTTCAGTATTCATTACAAACATAAGATACAATTAAGTTTGTTTGGAATTTTTTGAGGAAAATGATCTTTTCGTGAAAAATTTAGATGAGATTTTTCATGAATGAAAAGAGGAGATGAGATTTTTCAAATGTTTTGACGTACCCTCAGTACGTAATTTGTAGTCATATATTCATGATATAAAAAGGTTGAAAACACTGAAAATAGAACCTGTCTTTCTTTCTCATTAGAGGTGTCAGCATCTGCATCTGATACAATGATTGATTTAAGATTTTTGATTTATTAACAATTTTCTTGTTTCCAGTACATAGATGAATATTAAATGGAAATTCTTAGGGTGATATCTATCCAAAGTCACTCGCTCTCCCTTGTCTACCTTTCTCATATTTGCCAAAAACACTTATTTTAATAATAGCCTCCATTAACATACACTATTTTGTAATGATACCATGACATAAAAGCATGGCTTCATTGCATACCTACATAATTTCAGATCAGCTTTGAACCTCCCTTTAAAACCACCTTAAAGGGGAAACTTGTTTTTGGGCTTAGTTTCCTCAAAACGCAAAGTGTTCGTCTGCAGCCTCAGAATGTAAATCCCTCTTATGCCTCAAAACAGGATCAGCATTGGTGCGCAAAACCTCGACAGCTCACTCTTTTCATCCCTACTCTGCAAAGATGAGGTCTGAGGATGAGAGAATAACCCAGTGTCTGTGTCTGCTGCCGACTCCTCATGGGCAGTGATGAAGATTTCTGTGCCAGATGGAGCCGTGGATGCCCTCAGCAATAGGGGGAGGAGAAGCAATGATGAATACAAGGCTTTGGCAAACTTCATTGATTTTAACTCTCAACAAAATTTCTGTAACTTCTGATACCTCAGACACCACCAGGGACAACAGCAGATGGCTCACTGGCTCCTTTCAGCATGACATTTTCATGTTTCCATAGACAGGTGGGCAAAGATTAGTTTTGCCTCATCCTCCTTGTTACTGTGTAAACGTAACGAGAATATGTTACCAGGGAGTAATAAGGCAACTTTAAACAAAGACTTCACCACAAAGGCTGTCATTATTTTGTTCAAAACAACTGCTGCTTTGCTTGTGGAAGTAGATCTGCCCACATATTTCTCAAGCGTATTCACGGAGGCCGGTTGCGACATAGCTCCAAAGCAGACAATGGGGATGAACAATCCCGCATGGCATTTACGATTCACTCATCAGCCGCCCCTTGGCTCCCCTCACCCGCGGGCTGAGCACGCTTGGGGCACGCAGCGGCCTCGCCGGGCCCGAGCCCCTCTCCCCGGGGCACAGCCCTGCCTTGGCCGCCTGCAGGCCGGGGGGCTCCGGGGCCGCCATAGCGGCGGGGAGGCGGGCACGGCCCGGCATGGCCGCGGCCTCGGCCTCCTCGGGGCGGGCGGCCCCGGGTGCGCTCCGCCCTCAGCCTCCGGGACCAGGAGGAGGAGGAGGAGGAGGAGGACACGGACAGTTTTGGTGTCCTCTTGTCACTTGCAGTCATCTCTCTGAGGTCTTGGCCGTGCTGCGCTCTGTACAGAAATGTCTCTGTGTTAAAATGTGATTTTTATTTTTTATTTTTTCCCCTCAAAAACAACAACAACAACAACAAAGCTGTAACGCCGCGCCCAGAGCGGAGCGGTGTGCGGGTTAATGTGCGAGGAGGGCACGCGTGCAGCCTTGCTCGAGACTTCCCCAGGAAGTCAGCGCGGCTGCTGAGCGCAGCACCGGGCGGTCCCAGGCTCCTTCCAGCCCTCCTGCCCCAGCTGTGCTGCCTGAGAAACTCCTGCTACAGGGCTGCAGTGACGCTGGACGTGAGTACTGCGTGTGGAAATCTTTAAAGCGCTTTCTCTAGTTACTCAGCAGTCAGGCTGGGAAAGAGTGGGTAGCCGGGAGAGCGCTATGGAGGTGAAAACTGCTAGAGCTGAGAACATTGCTAGAAAGAAATAACATGGCTGTCTGCCTTGGTGTGTGTTCCCCTGCTTGAGATGGCACCAAGCCTGGGTGCACCTTTTCGCACTGCTAGCTGCCGTGTAGCTGAGGTGCCCTGTGCTCTCTAGCCACTGCTGCCGACATCAAGCAGGCTGTGAGCTGTGCTGTTAGCGATGCAAGTCCTCTCACAGATGTGTTAAGTGCTCCTCTGCAGCCTCTTCTCTATTCTCTGAGTCTATACGCCTGAACTAAATGTAAACCAGGAAACCTTACATGACCTTTATTGGTCAAGCTAGTTGTTAAAAGCCAAAACGAAACTAAGGGAGTAGAATAAAGTTAATTGCTGACGTCCAAAAGAAGTATGTGCTATGTCAACAGTCTATTCAATATGCTGTGTCAGAATTCAAACAGCAGTAAACATGTTAAAGATCCTGTCACTATTTATTACAAGAGCAAGTTCTGTCCAGTCCTTGATAAGTCTGGGCAGGTAATTTTGACAGCACAGAGCAGTGTTTGTATAGCTGAAAGTGGGCTTGTCCTGATACAGTTACAGACACACGTAGTAATGCTCTGCATTAGTATCCAGACACAGTAAACCAAGAATCATCCTGAAGCTCTTCTTATTACTTGGGCTTTTATCTATAGGGAAAATGAGTCAATAGACTAAATTTTCAAGCAGTGACTTTGTGCTTCTGTGCATTTTTCATTTTATGTTGTAGGTTCTCCAAATTACAATCTTTAGGAATATTATGACTTTTTATAACTAACTTTCATAATACAAAATTTCTGTTTCCTCTTATTAACATATTATATGCTAATTACACACCAGTCTTTTTTTTTTTTTCCTCGTATGTGTGGAATTAGAAATCCAGTGTAATTTACTAAACAAAGCAAATTTCCATTAAAACATGAACATACTTCGTACATCTTAGTTGTTAATACAGTTTTAATTTGGATATGTATTTCCTCAGGCCTTTGGGTGCTTTTCAGGTGAGACTGACAATTTTCCTCTCCCAACATCAATGTCACAGACTGATAAAAGACAAACTCTAGTAATCAGTCAGTCATGATGATGTCATCATAGCTGCACTGTTTTCTTGCTGGTTTCCACTAGGGTCTTCTGAACTAAAACCTCAGCATGTGTTGCTTATCAGTGGAAAGTGTCCTTCTTATATAAAAGTTTAGGGGCTATTAGAGCTATTTGCTGTCCCTGTTGTCCTTATGCTTCAGTTTCAGGGGCCAAAGCAATATGCAGAATAAACATTATTCCATTGATCAGATAACAGCATTTTCTGAAGCCCCAAATCAAGCTGTTATTTGACCAAATGTAGGACTCAAATGAAAAAGGAGATTATTGTCTTTATGCTTTTTTGCAACTTTGTCTCTGGAAAAAGCCATTTCTTTGTGCCTGCCTGTCCTGTTAAGTCATACCAGTTTGCAAAAGAAGTGTCATAATGTTTGCTACTTTATCTTTCTTTCACAGTCTACTTCCTGAAGATGTTTGTTTTTTCTCCCAGACTCTTCTACAGTGTAGCCTTTCTGATTACTCTGTGTAACATTATTGTCTTTACTTGGTACTTTCATCTGTCTGAAGAAATGTGATTTTGGAGGCAGGGCAGAATCTTATGTGAAGGCTCCTTTTGTCTCTCAGTGTTTTAACTTGGCTATGTGGTTTATCATGCAAAAAGCTGTCTTGCTTGCTTGGTTGTCGAATTAAAATAGCAGTAGGTAAAATCATAAATAGGTCTATAAAGCTCAGTATCACTTTATTAATTCCTGCTGTTCAAGTGAAAAGACTCAAATTCACTTTAAATGCAGAACTCCTAAGGAAATTGAATATCCTGCAGTTAATTGTTTACTTTTTTTTTTTTTTTTTGGTTTGTGTGTGTACAGTACATGAATATAACACATCTTATATGACAGAAATTGTTTTGTTTTGGCTATCTTTATCAAAAGTTTAGTTCTACATTATTAGTCACTTTTGTATATGACATAGCACACAGTAAGTTTCATGATTTTTTTTTGTGTGCTCATTTTCACCTTGTTAGTGAAAATCCTGCATCTCTCTCTCTGTCTCTTTCTGAAACTAGGTCAGAAAAAGTTGCCAGGTAAGGTTTGTTTAGTGACATTGTATCTTAAAGTAGGCTATGCTGTTTACCTTGATAATATGTATATCCATCACAAATTATAGAAGCATTAACATTTGAAATAAATAAGTAGCTTAATGTCTGCAATTCCTTTACAATTTGGCAAAAACTTGTAATAAATCTATCTGGGTAGTAACTGGTAGACAGTTACTGCCCCAACCCCACACCTGTACTGAAGTTTTGACACATTTTGCAAGCTGGGAGTCCATCTCCTGTGTAGAGGAGCTCTGCCACAGATGTTTTGCAGAAGTGCAGGTGTCAGGCTTGTAACTTGGTCCAGTCGCATGATAACAGTGGAGAAATGGACTCTTGCGTATAAACAGCTGTGGATTAGAATTGCAATGAATTTCCTAAAGTTAGCTGTTATGGCTGAATCAGCAGTCTTTACTGCCGTCAAAATGGGCTTTTTTTTTTTGGCCGTTATAAGAGAGGATTAATTTTAAAGCCTTCATGAAAAAAAAGGGATATCAGTTGTGTAGTGAGTGTTCTTGGAAGGGGGACATAGACTATACACAGCGTATCTGCATGTGCTGCAGTCTGTGGGGCTGTCAAAATGAGGAAGTTGGAAAGTAGGTTTGGTAAGGCGTTAAAAATTGCATGTAAATATGTACTTGTGCTCCTATTTCTGGCATCTAAGAGGCAGCATTTGAAATGCTGTGCTGTATTTGTACAGTAAGCATTTGTGGTTTTTAGACTTGTGCTGAGTGAAAGTTGCCTGTTGGTGAAAGTTAAGGTGGTTTTCTGTTTGTTTGTCTTTTTCCCCTGATTTCCAGGGTTCACAAGGTGATAGGTAGACCAGTCAAATGCCTGTTTTTGTAGAGGCTCTTACAGGTTTATAACAAGAACTGGCACTAATTTGTTTTTAGCAGCATTTTTTTTAAACATCATTTTAGTAGCTGACTTGCATTTGGAGGGAATTTCATCCTTAGACATCATACTTTACTTACAGTGGGTTTCTAATATCAGCCTTGGTCAATCCAACATGAATGTCCAATGTTAACTTCAAGGTTTCTTTAATGAGTCACTCCTAGCACATGAGCTGACCACAAGTATAGTCTTACATTTCCTAAAGTACAGTTGCATGGGAAGTGTATGCATCTTTGTTTATTGGAGAGGGGTTCTTCTGAGTCCAAAAAACAAACCAACCAAAGAAAAACCCTCAAAGCTGATCTCACCCATTAGTTTATGAAAGTTAGAATATAAAAACTGGAAAATCAGGCATATCCTTGAAAAAGATCCTCATTTTAGTCATTGTAAATGTAGAGTTGATATTGCCTGCTTTTTCTGAAGTACTTCTGTTTTTCTGTGTTTCTACACTTGTAATTGGATAAGTAAAAGATTTCCTTTAACAACTTTTTTTTTTTTTTTTTTTTTTTTTTTTTTTTTTACAGCTATCTGATTAACAAAATGAAGCCTGCTAAGTTGCACTATTGGATTTTGGGTTGTTTTTCTATGGCGTTATGTTGTTGGTGTACTTCAGATAAATTCCATCAGAGGTAAGATATGATTAAAAATGAAAATCATAATAGTTATTTCTTAAAGGCAGAACATTATAGTTTAACTTCTAATGAGTGTAACTTTTCTTGCTTTACTATGTGCTATTTTTGATGTGTTTTAATGTATTTTTTCATAGACTGGTAAAGTGATTCACATACGTTAGCTGGGGGAGTGGAGGGCATGCCTAGAAGGAGAGCTTTATTAAAAATAAAAACCAATAAAAACTGCAATTACTCCTATGGGATGAATTGCACCAACTGTATACTTCTGCTTGCTTGTTTGGCCTTTTTTTTTTTCTTTTTTCTTTTTGCATGCTATTTTCTCAGTTCCATTAATTTTAATTTTTTTTTTTTCATACAGCATCCCAGCTGGGGCTAGGTGTGCAGCCTTTTGGTTATTGCTGCACTTGGCAAAATCTGGGCTCAGATGTTGACTTGTTGGTGACTTAGACACTGTCCTGAAGTTTCTCAAATTCATGGGACTTGAGCTATGGCTTGGCCATGGTGGCAACAGTGATAGCACCTCTGAATAGAGGCACAGTGCTGAACTGCATGGAGCAGGGTAACTTCTGTTGAAAACAAAGGGAGACATTCCTGATGTATTGAAAATGTCTTTCCTTGGATTCTAGTACTGAGTTTAAGTTTCTAAAACTTACATTTTTAAATAACCTAGATTAACTTTCTGACCTATCATTAGCCAAAACATGTATTTTAGGAGAACTTGTTGGTTGTCATTGTGGAAATTCACCTACTATTTCAAATACAGGTGAAAGATTATATTTTTCTAAGCAAGGAAATTAAGTGCTGTATAATATTAGGGAACTCTTGTATTCAGGTTTCTACAGTAAAAAATAGTTAGAAGCATTAATAGCTTTCATTGTGACTATGCCTGATTTGTTCTAGACCTATTTGGTTAAATTATTTAGAAAACACATATGCATGTGAATACTTAAGAATAAATATGACCATTACAGACTAGCAAAACCAGAAGGGAAAAAAAAAAGGAACTGATGTAACATGAGAATATCCCTACAAGTTGAGAAATAGCTTTCTCACATAATTTTTTTTTTTTTTTTTTTTTAAATACAAACTCCAGCAGGCAAAAATATGGAGACATGGCTACTGGCTTCCAGAAAATAATTATTTTGACACTTCTGCACATCGTGCTGTCAGTTTGAACAAGTCAAATTTTTGCTGTTCTTTTTTTTTTTTCACCTGTTGTTTAATATAGTTACTTAATATGGTTGCTTTATAGCTTAATGCATCTGTTGCAGTGTCTGAAGCAACCAGTTTTTATCCACTTCCAGTTTATCCAGAATGGCTTCTTGGAATTGTTGGAAAATGAAGATGCTTCTGTAGAAGTGTTGAAGATACTATTTAAAATGTCATTTTAAACAAATCATGCATCATTTTTTAAACAATTTTTAAACTTTTTATTATTTTTTCTTGTGTAGGAATAAGATAGTACTTTTGACTCTGTGAATTATAGATCTCTTTGTCCTAAAAGGCTTTGAAGCACAAGTGCTTTTGTAAAATATGGGATATTCCTTCTTTAGTTCTTAGGTACGGTCTTACAGGCTGTTTGTCACAGTTTGATAATTTTTTGATAACTTTTTTCAAGTTTGATACTTGAAAATTAGTTAATTTATGTTAAGCATTTAAAAATGCAATGTTTGTCTAGAAAATGATTAATTAAGCATTTGAGGTTTATGGTTGTTACTTTTTTATTCTGATTTTTTATTCAAAATTTTTTTTTTGTCTGAAAGGTTGGTGACACTTGCCAGATCAAATTACATCTCCTGTAGTGTCAACTGTGTTGTTTGTGGTTGTCTGTAGTCTTTTATTTCAGAAGAGTACTTACAGTTCCAGGAATGCTGTATACTTTCTTTTTAGCTAATGCACCCATCAAGTAGAATTAGAAGATTCTTAATATCCTAAGCAAGTATCTGTTGTTGTTGTTAAAGCTTGCCAGTAGGCACCTTCCTAAATATAAAACAGAATACCACATTTTTTCCATATCTTAAGAAATAGGAAGCATATGGAGCCAGACATGGAATTTGTTTAACAATGATGGGGTATTAGCAGGTTTCTAAATATGCTGTTTCTAAGTGATCTCTCATAGTTTGGTCCTGCAGTGTTTGGAGTTCTGTTGCAATAGAAGCTGTAAACAGAACCAGCCAGCTATAAAGGCAATATGTTATCTTATATATATATAGTAGACATTGTGCTGCTAACTGGAGGTGTTGTTCTTTTTAAAATACTTGAGAAAAAAATATATATTTTCTTTCTCCAGTGACAGCCACCCTCATACCTGGAAGAAGCTTTATCTTGCTCATCATTGGCCAGTGACTGTATGTAAGGTGAGATTTTTGTGTTTCTTTCTCCTTTATTCTGTCAAAGGGAGCCTTGGACAATAAATGTTTGAAAAGAGAGTAAATAAAGCCCCTTAAGCATTTAATCTTGTTTATACACCTATATCTTTATAAAAGGTTTGACTGATCTTGGTGCAGCTTTTGTAACTTCTTGGTTTTTCTCTAGTGTAGCTGTAAACGAGAGAATCATGGCATACTACAACTATAATAGTCAATGTGGGACATACTGTACTCTGTCTTAATTGTTACATGTTTTTTCATCTCTCATTAGTCCTAGACTTTTACCAGACTCTGTAAGCAGACTTGCATGCCTCGTTTGACTGAAGACAGCAGATTAGTATTAAACTGTTTGCTGCACAACAAGGTTTAGTTTTATAATGTTGGCTTCAAAGTTTTAATGATAACGGACCAAATATGGATTTGGTCTGGAAAAAGACAGTGCTGCAAAGCTGTGGGTGTCTTGCAGCATTTCTATGTTTGGGGGTAGGAATGAAAAATGAACCTAACCTCCCAATATATGTGTTTCAAGAACATAAATAAGAATTGTAATTTTATGCACCTTTTGCTATTAAATACCTATTACCATCTGGTAAGTAGAACAATGTAGGAAATCTTTGAAGGCCTCTTCTTATATAGTTGAATTAAAATATGCTGTACTTCAAAGTGGAAGATGTGATCAGATTTACTGACACAAGGATTAAGTACTCAGAGGGTAATACAAAAGGTTTAGTCTCAGTCAAATGGTTTTGAAGCTAAAAAGGTCCCACTTCAGGGACATTTAGGTTTATTTATTACAATAGTATAGTCTTTTTTTTTTTTTTTTTTAATGCTCTAGGTACTTTTTAATTTCTCATTCCTATTTTTGGAACTACATATAAAAACAGTAACAGCAAAACTTATATAATGACAGAAACTTCTGTGGAGAAAACGATGCGCTTTACATTAGTTAAATGTATAGGGAAGATACCAGTATGAAAGCTCTGTATTTAACTGAGACCAAGGAGTAGCCATTGTTCTGGTTTATGTTTGTTTGCACTTTTTTTTGAGGTGGGTCAGAGGGAGACCTGATGCACTTTGTGTCTGATTTTTTTTTTTTCTTTTGCTTAACAAACATCACTGTAACTAACTTCAGGCAGAGGTGTTGGTCTTCTGGAATACGTAGCACCTGGCTTGAGTGGGCATTCAGACTCAGTAGAAGTTCAAAGCCTCTGCATAAGTGAATGAGATGCAGAGTCATGAAGAGTGAGAAAAACAATCACTTTGGGCACTATGTGTGGGCTGCTACTCTTAATTCTAGGATACTGCTGTTGGTAAATTGGCAAATAACCTGTATGTACTTACAGTGAAATTGCAGTGAATAATTGAGGATACGAAGCTTCAGAAAATCTAGGCTTTCATACACATTATGTTAATTCCTTTCTGACAGAAACATCCCAAAGGAGGGAAGAAAAAATGAAATTAAAATCGTGTGAAATGACTTTTTGCCCAGTTTCACTTCCCTGAGTCATATGAAGAAATGGAGTTCCAATTCCACTCTTCTAACAGCTTTCTTTTTGTTAAGCTACGTATTAACTTAGAGGAGTTCCCAAATCCTGATGTTTCTTTCTTTTTTTTTTCTTCTTTTAAAAAAAGTATATAGTTTATTCAGCATCTGCAGTGTATTTATGTATGACTGCTATTTTATTTCAGTGAGGACATATTTTTAAATCATTCTTGAGTTTTAAAATGTTGACATAATATCAAAAGAAAAAACAGTATCTGGGTGAAGGAAACTGCATAATGCTTTATATCACTTATGTTTACAAAAAGTTCTGTTACACTACTTTGTGCAAGTACTTAGTAGTTTATGCTTCCTGTGTAAAGGAACATGGTTACAGGCAGGGGACTTCACTTCATACTGTATTCTTTATAGGTGTGTGGATGATCTGCATCTTAGCTCCTTTTTTGTTTGTATGTCTGAGTGCATCAAAAAGCGTTTAAGATTTTCAGAGTCCTGAAAGGCCTTTTCTTAAAATGTAGTGGACACATTTCATCATCCTAGAAATTTGAGACTGTACATCTCTCGGCTCTTTCTGTGCTTTAAGCTGTATGCAATTGTGTTCGACTGGTGTTTTTTTTAATACTAAGTATGATCTGTACAATTAAACTGGAAAGTACATGTTTTAGAAAAAAAAAAATATGGTAAGTTCAAACTTGTACTTTTCAGTCTCAAATGAGTGTGAATCCTGTTAGGTGGAAGTAGGAGAAACTCAAGGGCAGCCAGAGGGACTTTTTCCTCGCCTGTTATGGGGTTATGAAGGTCTTTAATTCTTGAAGTTAGAGAAATGTTATGATTACAGCTTTTGTTTCTTGGAGATTGTAAAAAGGGAAGATCTTTTCTGGGTGTCCCCTTGTGAAATGGGGCAAATCTGATGCAAGTGTGTATGCTATTCAGTTTCTGCTGTGGTAAGGATGGGAAGGATTATGAAGAAATGGTTACCAAACCCTGTTGTGAACTTTTTACTACGTGTATGTGCTGATTCACTACGTATAGGTGCCGCACAGGCCCACTGCTGCTTTTCTTGGTGTTACCGGCCACATAGCTTGGGTGGGTCTGGTTGTCAGATTATTTTAAAACAGGAAAAGGAAATGTTCCTTTTTCCAATTAACCTGATCTGGAAGAGTTTCTGAGGTCCAGTGCCTACTTGTAAATACACGTTTGTAACTCCATTTCAAGTTGGCAGCTGCCTGAGTTTGAATCAATCCCTCAGCAGTCAGTATAGGGTAAACAGGAAGGCTAACACAAAGTGTTTTGCAGAAGTAGCAGGGATACCCAGCTTCTCATGCTTGCGTATTTTACAATATTGGTTTAAGGGAAACGTTGGAAAAATACCGTGGGTAGTAGAAAGGAAAGGTGAATGAAGCTGGCCAAAATACCGTATGACCTTCTGTGTCACAGGTGGCACTGACTGTATGGTGCTGCCAGCCTGCAGCATAACACCAACATCATGAAATGTGTAGAAAAAATAGCTAACCAGGTTAGTGCTGCAATAGGGTAGAGCTGATTCTTGGCGTCCTACAAACCTAAAAGTAAAAGGACACTAGATTTTCATTCACTTCTATCCAAAGTGTTTAGGTGCTAACTGGCTTGAGGGGGCTTTTATCCACAGAAAACAAGCTGGTAACTTTTAGTGCCATGCCATTGAGCTTTTCAGAGTCAGTGTGGGGTCTTATCTGGTCTTTAGGGAGACTTTAAGATGTTGGCAGTCTAATCACATTTTGACCATTTAGCTTTCCTTCTGACTACAGAATATATTGTTTCAGATTGGAAACAAAATGGGTCCTGGGTCTCAGTCTAAACCCTGATTGAGTAAGCTGCCTTGAATTTTAAATGCTGTGGGGTTTCCTTTAGCTTGAATGGGAACTGCGGTAAAAGATTGGGTAAGAAGCACAACTGCACTGTTCTTGTTCCCACCCAGGTTGCACAAGCTGATTATCTGGCAGGCTGTTTTTCAGGGGGTGATTACCCACTGGCTATTGATTTACTGTATTTTGGGCTGGATAGCTGCAGTCTTTCAGCTCCACAAAGCTTGTGTCATTACAAGAGCAGTGTCGTTTAGATGCTTCCAAAATGTGTTTGCTGAAAACCTGTCAGGAATAAACGCTGTTGCTGGGTTTAATTGCTTCTGTTTGTTGGTCGCAGGAGAGAAGCGGAAGGAAATTGGCACATAACAAGAAAGTCTTGCAGATCCTGCAGTTTTGCAGCCACTGGTTTGTGGCATGCAGAAGGCAATTAGTGAGATTACAGGTCTCCCTGCACTTGTCTACACTGTTCTTGTTCCAGTATCACATAAAAGGCATTGTAGCATAATTAAGGCAGGGTATGGGATGCAAGCTAAAAAGGAAAGCAATTATTTTGGGGAAGGAAAGTCTCAAGAGGCTGTTATTTAATGGAGAAAAGTGTTTACTCAAAAGATCTCTAATTATTAAGTGGGGTAATCAAGGAAAACGCAGTAATGTTATTCTGTGATGTTTGAGTGTAGAAATTTTTGTCTGTTGAGGAATATATATTCTGCTCTAAACAAGAGTTAACATTTAGGCTATTTCTCCTGTATTATCAGAAGTTTTGGCTGGGGGTGTTGTTGGTAGGAATATATATGTTCTTTCCTCCTCTTTATCCCTTTCCTTGTCCCTCAAGTCAAAACACTTAGAAACACATTCTAATAATTTTACTTGGAATAAGTGCTTTTTTTTTTTTTTATAATCTACTCTTTTTTTTTTTTTCTTCTATTTTTAATATAAGACCAAAAGTACTCTTGGACACTTAAAGTATGCTTGTCCAATATTATAGTTTATTTTGATATATTTTTTTAAATTTTATTTTAGTGGTTCTGCACTCCTTGAAAAGATCCAATCATGAGAAAAACACCTAGAATTGCCACCCAGAATATAAGATAAATGTAGAATTAGCTCTATTCATGACCTGTGTCTTCTTTTCATACTGCCCATTCAGGATCCCCCCCCGATGTTCACTTAATTTGCTTCAAAACTTTAATGCCTGCTGTTGTCAGCTAAGCTCACAATTCATAACAGGTTCAAGTAACTGGAGGTCACTTGAACTGGTCTGGGCAAGTAAAAACTATCATGTCTTAATAGTGCTTTGGGCAACCAGTGAATGAGCTTTTATTTTCCCTCTAAACCATTATCCCTGGGTACACATAACAAATATTCTACTTTTTTTTTTTTTTTTTTCCACAGCAGACTGCTAATGATTGTCAAGACCCTCCGGAGTACTGGACAATTCATGGACTGTGGTATGACTGTAGATTGTTTTTATTTCAACCTGGAAAGGGTGAAATTTAAGTTTCATATTAGGATGTTTAGTGATGTTTTTGAAGTGCTTGATCTATCTGTTTAATCTTACAATTGCTTCATACAAAAGCCTTTGTTTTGTTGGAAATCTAAAATCTATGTTTTGATATAAAACTACTGTGCACTCTTGTATATCCCATGATTCACTGAGCTACTAAAATCTTCTTGTCACATGAGCATTTTATTTATACAACTCTTTATAACATCACTGATGTTCTCAAACAGAAAGGGAAGTATGGTTTCCTCTTGTTCTTTTTCTTCCTGAGTACACAGGATTTGTTAATGTCTCATGACCGCCTGTGCCTTTAAGTACCTTAACTCAGCACAAATAATATAAAAGTACATGAAAAACTAATTTGTTTCAAAGGAATCAACTACCTGTAATCATTGTCCATGGCAGCAATTTGAAGGTTTTCATGACAAACATAGGGGAGAATTCAGGACAGGAGGTTGGTATGCTGTATGTCCTGGAGAGGTGAACAGCATTATGTATAGATTTCCAGTGACTTTCTAGTGGTACTTGCAAAATTGTCACTTGGTGCAATGGTTGGGAAGGTCAGTGTCATCAGTGACATGATATGCAAGACTCCTCCATATCATTACTCCCCCTATGCACTGTTTACAGAGGGTGATCCATTCAAAGGCCTCAGAGCCTCTACATGGGAAAAGTTTTAGCCATAACTTATATAATGATTAATATATTTTTACTTATAAAACACTGTAGATGGATTACTTGCATATTTAAGTCAAATTTATAGCTATAATCTTGCATATTTAAGACTCAGGGTAGTAATAGGTTGCTCTGACTGTTAGTGACTTGGAAGACTATCTTTTTTGACTTCTGTTTTGCTTTTCTAGGCCTGACAAAAGTGAAGAATGTAATAGGACATGGCATTTCAATGTCACAGAGATTAAGGTATTTATTTTAAAACATGAAATTAAAAAAATGTCATACCAAGCAGAGCTGAGTGCCATTACTTTTGCGCTTCCTATGTGCAAAATCTGTAGCTCATAGCATATCACTGTTAGTGTAGTTTGCTGAGAGGGATGTTCTTTTAGGAGTCAAAAAATTCAGTAGGTGCTTCTGGTATGAATTGAAATTGCAGTGCTTGTGTTCATTAGTGGCTATTCATCTATTCAAACTCAGCTTTGCAGACATGTGATTTGTCTTTTTCAGGTACTTCTTCCTTACCAAAAAAATCTAGAGAACATAGGCACAGATCTCCACTGGTAATAAGTACCTGTGAAAAAATGCAGAGCCATTTTGTGTTCCCTGTTCCGTTTTCCACTGAAAAGCCAGAACACAGAAAATAAGACAGAGTTTCTATGTGTCTCGTCTTCTCCAGTGAGAATAGTCCTCTCACAAAGAAAAAAAAAAAAAAAAAGTTTATTTATATATTTATTAAAAATACCCATGTTTAATGTGCAGAATTGCACAGAATGGTTGAGGCTGGAGGGGGACTCTGGAGGCCGTGAGGTCCAACCCCCCCACATAAGTGGGGATGGGAGACTTGAGTCTACATTTGTGAAAAGCTCCACGGTCGAACAATTTCTGCAGGGACAGTAGAAGGAAAATCTTACTTCAAGGCAGTGTGTCAGTGTTAATATACTCAGATAGTCACATCTACCTGTCACCACCACCAACAGCATTTTCAAAATAATGGGAAAAAGGACTTCTCTTATTTTTCTGCAAGTAAATGTTTATTTTGGGCCTATTGAAAGAAAAGGCTTCAGTTTTAGAAAATTTATCGATATATATAAATTGTGTATGAAATACTTTTTCAGCTGCAGGTAAGTTTTTACTGATAAATTACTTGTGTTATTTTTAGGATCTCATGCCAGACATGAGACGCTATTGGCCAGATGTAATTCATTCATCTTTGAATCGCACCCATTTCTGGTGAGTACAAACAAAATTAAAAAGTATTTTGGATATTATTTTACAAAAAAGTCAATCTGAATTAGTAATTCTTCAGGTAAGATGTTATGCATGAGAAGCAGCATCCAGGAATCCACTGAAAGTGATACATCTTCACCTGTTGTTTTTTTTTGTTTGTTTGTTTGTTTGTTTTTCTCTTAAAGTTTTCTTGCTAGAGCACCTGCAAAATGCATACTGTTGAAGAAGGGACTATGGCAGCAATTTTGGAGAAGTGGAACTTAGTGAAAGAGAGAGAGAGAATGAGTTTGTTTTCTTTGCCCCCAGGGAGGAGAAGCAGCTGCTGCTGACATATTTAAATCTACATAGCAGTTGTGCTCTAGGGATGTGAAAACCTGCTGCAAGAACAGCTCTCAGGCCTCTTCCAAGCTGGCTTCACTGTGTTGCTGGCTTTGAGAGACCTTTCCTTTTGGACTTTCACACAGTGGAGGGAATGGACAAATAGGATTCCTTGTATGGTCCTAGCCATTTCCCTACAGACTTTCCTATTTACTTTCTTAGCAGCCTAAATCAGACCAAATGGGAATTTGTTTAGTGATCAACCTGCTTGGCTTATAGGAAAGGAAAAGACTTAGACCTCTCCTGACAACAGTTTTCCTTCTTTTCTATATTTCTTTTTACTTCTAAATCATCAGACGCTTGGACTGAAGAGCAGTATGAGTATTATCTGAGTTTGCAGGGGCTTCAGTTTGAGTTGCCCGTGACTTCAGTTTAAAATAATGCAGTCGATGTAATCTGTTCTTCCAGATCTACTGTGAAAGCAGTAACATCAATTAAGATGTAGAGTGTGTAGCTTTAAATGCTGCTGCCTCTAGCTATCTCAGCTCTAAGTGCCTCTGGGGATTTCCTTTGGATTGGAGGACTATTTCCTCCCTGTTTCACTAGGGGAGAACTTTGAAGGGAATGGGTGTTAATTTTAGTCTTGTCCTTGTTCTACAGAAGATCTGTGTCCTCCAAGTCCTACACTGGTCTTACAAGTGTCTCATGGCAGTCTGAACTTGTAAATGTAAAAAGTGGTAATCTCTCTTTCTCCTTGCACTATTCCAAGGAGAGCATGACTGCCTCTTTCAGTGGTATCAGAAGTTTATGCCAATTTAAACCATTCCTGGAATAAGAACAAGAAAATGTGTCCTAAATCTAGCACCTCCCATGCCCTGAACACCTACCTGTTCATGGAAACAAGTGCATACCAGTCCTTGTTTTACTAACAGAGATACTTTGGTAGACAGTAGATATAAACAGATACAAGGTCTTTTTAGTTTCAGTTCAAGGCTAGCAAACAGAATTTATTTTAATACCTGGAAACGTCACTAGTATACAAGTGATAGAAAAATTAGATTAGAACACCATAATCAATATTTTGATTGAAAGAGTAATTCACTCCTTTTCAGTATGGTGACAAGTGCACTATAACTGGCGGTTCTAATTGCAGATTTTGTAAATGCAAGTTTTTAAGTTTTTAAGCTAGTTGAAAGCCAATAAAATCCTGTTGTACATCTTAATTCAGTTAAAATATTTACTTCGATTTTTTTTAAAACCATGTTTATCTCTAGTGTTAAATAACCCCCCCCCCAAAAAAAAAAAAAAAAGAAAAAGGAAGGACCAATATGGCAGAAAAGAGAATCTGAAAGTAAATCTGGTTTTCATTGTTTTACACTGAAGGCACCTCAGTTAAGTAAACAACATAAGCAGTGACAAGCAAAATGGTTTTTGGATATCTCAGTGTATCACATCAGGGTTTTTCCATGACTGCTGTAATTTCATAGTATGTTTCTTCGTTTCTTCATGTGTCTATCTCTAACTGTAGTTCTGGCTTAAAGAATTTGAACTGGACAGGGTCGAATTGCTTATAACAGGATAGAGGGGTATGGGTGCTTTGGATCTCAAAATTTACAAACTGAAATTGGTTGTAACCTGTTATACATTCATCTTAAATATTTTGTGGGCAGCACTTGCAGACCTTAGTTCCTATCCCAAGGAACCAGTTTTCAGGCTGGGTTGTTTCTACAGCCCTTGGATCCATCTGATGTGCTTCCAACTTTGTCTGCAATATCTCCATGACTTTGAACTTGGGGGAACTCTGTCCTTGTACATAAGAAGAAGCAAAGTCTCTTCTGATGTTCAACATTTTTTCCATACAAATGAGTTCTACTATTTGATTCCTTTGTATTTCTGCAGCCCCTTAAGATGTCATTTGTAGGATTTAGCTTCCAGATATGCAAGTGTAGCATTGATTCTTAAGAGCATTATCAAGAAAATTATGGAGAAGGACAAATTATATAGTGGCACCCAATTTAACGCTGCAACCTTCACTCCTGTATGCTTGCCAAAGTACTTGTGTCCTATGAGGAGGAAAAAATGTCACGAAGTTCTTGTAACATATACACTCTGTGTTACTGCCTAGCTTATAATTATGAAGAGTTACAGAAGGGAGGCTGGTCTTCGTGAATACAAGAGGCTATGTTCTGCATATGAGTTAAGGCTCAAGTAAAATGACCTTGTCAGTTGCAGCCTACGTGAAGGATAATGTCTCAGTGAATAGCACTGAGATGTTAATTCTTTCAATTTCTAAACAAACTGTTTTATTATTCCCTGTTACCCACAACTGCTTCATTTCCTACCTGCTTCGGTTTGTATTTAAGTGGAAGAGGTGAAGGTGAAATTTCGTATGCCTGTGCTCGAGCGGTCAGAATTAGCTATATTTGCGTCACTTTGTTTTTCCACATTGCTGTACTGCAAAAAATCAAGTAACAATGTGAAAAGAAATGTTATCTTAAAGTTGCTGTAATTGTTTTATAGTGACTCTAAACTGTCTCTCCAGTCTGGAACACTCACAAGACTGATTCAAAAACTTGGGCCCAGTGTGTCCTTGGCTTGCTGCAGCTGATGAAGTATGGGCACTGTCTGTGGGTAGCTCTGTGCCTTTCCATTCAGCATCCCCACAGCCCTCTGGCCTGGCCACTGTTACCAGTGCAAACTGGACCTAACCATTCCAACAGCAGCTTCATGTTAGCAGTGATATGCTTCTTGAGCACCATCAGATCTTTGGCCCTCTATTTCTGCCTTCTTTCTGGAAACAGCAGGACGTTTAAATTCACATACCACTGACAGACTGTAAAAGGCAGTCACAACACTTTACCATAAGGTTTTCACACATGCATAAATACACATTTTTCTGAAGAAAAATAGGCATCCTACATGCAAATCCTTGCCTCCAGCTTATTGCTGCTCCAGTAGCTATTTGCATTTGATTGTTGTCTGCCTCTGGTCCAAACCAACTGCTCAGTGAGTATCTCTTGCCAAATTTACCTGAAATAGTTTCAATTTCCTTTAAAAAAAATAGTCTCTTCTGTCATCAGTAATTTCAAGTCCCTTGTTGGGAAACCTGCTCTTTGACCCATGTGAAGTGGACTTCTGCAGGTGGTAAGAAATTTGCTTAATGTGCAGTCAAGTGTTACAACCACGATGAGAACACTTAACTAGGCTGAATTTGGGAACTTAGAGTTAAAATCTTCTCTCCTGCCTCAAACCTGTTGACACTACAAATTTATTTATTCATTCTCTGTTTAGAAGTAGCATACAAATTTCTCTAGATCCAAGCGTAATTTAGTCAAAGTGTTTTAATTCCTTAAAAAAAATCTAATTATTATAAATGGACAATTCAAAGGCAGATTTTCTTGTGAAAACAAAATTGTCCTTGTGCTTCTCTGCCATTCCATTACTAAGACATCATAAAGTCAGGGAATGCTCTGGTAGTGATAGGGATTTGTGATTAGATGGTAATTATTTGTGCATATTTATTTCACAGAATCACAGAATTTCTAGGTTGGAAGAGACCTCAAGATCATCGAGTCCAACCTCTGACCTAATGCTAACAGTCCCCACTAAACCATATCCCTAAGCTCTACATCTAAACATCTTTTAAAGACTTCCAGGGATGGTGACTCCACCACTTCCCTGGGCAGCCTGTTCCAATGTACAAGTGGCTTATGAAAACTTGAAAAACAAAATAAAAACTGTGGTGGTCTTACTAAAAAATATACTGGTTCAATAAACTTAAGAATTGATACAAATGTATTTTGAATTTTACATTTTTTGTTCTGTTTGAGTTTGTCTTCCTTCAAATTACAGGAATTGTTTTCTTTTGCATTCTATTCCATGCTGTAATTCAAATGGTAGGAGTGATGGTTTTTTTTTTGTTTGTTCGTTTGTTTTTTTGTATGAGCAGTATTTTTTGTGTGCAATATCACACTTCTTACTTAGACCCTTTAAGATTCTTGACTTTAAGATTTATCAAGGTTCTTCATATTTGCAAATAATGTTTTCTGAAACTTGAATTTTGCTTACGTCCTGTAGGAAACATGAATGGGAGAAACATGGGACTTGTGCAGCCACACTTGAGGTCCTCAATTCTCAGAAGAAATACTTTGGTAAAACCCTGGAGCTCTACCAGCATGTTAATCTTAATGGGTATGTTAGTGAACTCTATGGTCTGCTCTTATTTCAAATAGTTTCTAAACGTTTAAAATCTAACTTTAAGAAATTAGTATAAACATCTGATGGCAGAGGGAAAATCAGTATTAGTGTAAATTATTTCTGGTACTGGAATTCAGAGGAGTTGTCTACTTTGAGAAGAATGTCTCTGGTCACTTCAGAGTCTGTTAAGGCAGCTGCATGCTTCACAGAAACCTTTTAGACAATGTAAGCCAGAACATTTTGAGCAGCTGTATCAGCTATATCTCACTACCAAAAGGTATGGTACCTGTAGACTTATAAACCATGCATTGAACCTCTCAGACCTCTGAGTCATGCCTAAACACTCAACCGTGTTTAGAAAAGCAATGTTCTGCTCAGAGGGAAGGACAAGCTGCAGGCAAAATTGTGCAGAACATCTTGGGAAGGGGTTGAGAGCTAGCAGCAAGAGAGGGTGTCCCAAAGGGCAATGTGTACAAACACTTTATATGCACAACATGGGTGCCAATGAATGTCAAACGTGCAGAGTCCTTTCCTGACAAATGCTTGGTGTGAGTGGTAAAGGGTTTGACTCAGATTTGTTGACCAGGAATTTTTTTATTTTTTTTCTGGTGCGTGTGTGTAAAAACACAGTATCAGAGAGGAGAAAAGTTGTCCTTTTGTATCTAGAAATGTGTATTTAAAAAAAATAAAATTAAAAAAACAGTTCATGTTCTGTCAGTGTCTTGTCCAGGCAGTCTCTTTAACAGTGTCTCATTCGTATGCACAAAGAAAATGTCTTTATTCCATTCCTCTCCTGTTTTTGCAGGTGTCTTGTAAAACTTAATCATATTTTTCTAGACACAGTGCTTAAGAGCATGTCATATGTAGTGTTAAAATTAATAATGTCTGATAAGTCAATTGCCTAAGTAGTGGTGATGGTGTGATTAAAACATTTTACAGATGGCACAGTGACCGATTATGTGACTCTGTATCAGCATGTGTAATGAAAAATAATAGAGACTGAAACATCTTGAAGCTAATTGCTCATAGCATATTCTGCATTGTAAAAATGAACATAATTAATTTAATCTTCACTGAAAAGAGTAAAGACTGCTAATGTTCTCATTGTGCTTCATTTATACTTTTATGAGAAAAAGTAGTGTTAGAGTGATTAAAACTTTCCAAATGAGAAGTTATTAAAAAGAGGATGTCATACAGGCTCCTGTAAGAATGACAGAACATCACCTCTTTTATTGGTCTGCTCATATGCAGTGTCAAATGACTTTCATAAACAGGGAGACCTTTAGACAATTGGGTTAAATTTCCTCAGTGCAGAACTTGATCTTGGAAGGGCTGAGCATTATTAGCACTTACGGTTTAAATCATGAGATATGCTGAACATTCCCACTTATTACTGAAGAAGCCAGGACTTGAATACTCGGAACCTGTTGGGTCCTGAGTTTTGTTAGAAGTCCACACTTTAAATTGTTCTCAGGACTGAATCTAAAGGAAGGGGTGTATATAAGCTACAGCATATTGAGAGTTGCCTTGTTTCTATTATGTGAACAACCGTTGTATTAAAAAAACATTCTTACAAAGTGATTTTGGAAATGTTTCTGCTCTGACCTTGATGTTGATCCTTGTGCCTCATCCCTCTCTGTGTGTGCTGTGTACCAGTTGTCCCACGCAAGTCCTCCCTGCATTAGAACACAAGGGTGTGTCAAGCAGCCTCACAAATCTGCCTCAGTTCCTTCACAGGGGTCAGGGTACAGGGGTATGGCTTGGGGCAGGGGAAAGGAAACAGTTAAACTATATGTCCTGCCTGGCACTCAACAGAGCATATGGAGATCCAGCAAACGACAGTAGCATAGTTCTTTCCTCTAGCTGCCTCTGAAGACTGGACTCTCCCAGCTCCTCCAAACTAGGAGAGAGGGTTTGTGCTGACCCTGCTAAGCTGGGTGGGCAGTGGCCTCTCAGAAAAGGAAACCTTCCCTTGGCCTGGCAGAGTATGGAGGACAACTTTCTTTTGCTCCCTCTCATTGTAATGCTTGCCAGGTTCTCATTAAGATTATTCATTTGCCTTATGGTTATGAAGTTATATTTGCATACAGGAACCATGAAAATGTGTTCTATCTTTGTTTCAGTTATCTCCAGAAGGCTGGGATAAAGCCAAGCAGTACATATTACCAGGTAAGAAGCAATCTTTTATATGAAACAAAATCATGTGTACTTCTTTCAGCATAAGTTAATTAATTTATAGAGAGTAAATGATCTTATTTTTTTAATTGCTTTTTTTTTTTTTTAAGTTGTGCTTTTCTAAAACTTTTTGCAAAATTAGAAATGTGAGACCTGTTGGAAGATGTGCTAGTGACTTAATAAATTATACAAGCTTTTTAATTTTTCAGATGACTGCCATAAAAGAAGGTCTTACAAAATTTTATGGTGTAACACCAAAGATCCAGTGTCTTCCTCCAGAAGAGGTAAAAACAAACACACACACACAACCACTTTGCCACTTTCAAACAAATAAACACTTTCTATCAAAAAACAAAAATAGTGAAAAATCTGAAGCGTGGTCTGGGTGTTCTTTTTGGGTGCAGCTCCTTAGAGATCAGATATTGCTCAGTTCTTAGAATTGAGTTCACAAAAGCATTGCCTGCATGCTGGCACCACAAATTTAAGCTTATGTTAATCTGTAGCCATTTCTTAACATAGAAATATTGTTAATGGAGGAACTATCCATTCTGTATGTAGCAGCTTTGCTGTTAGGTACCTATAAAGTAGGAGCTTTGGGTTTTAGAGCCCTATTTGCCTTAAAAGATTTGAACCCTCATCTCTTGCACGAATGCTGTAACCATCATGCTAGAAGTGAACTGTAGTTGAGTACTTTCTGCTCCTGCTAAAGCTTAATTGCCATATAGCAAATTGCTAGAACCAACAAGAATGAGCTGCAAGGAGCCCATACACAGACGGCAATTTTACAAAAACTTGCCAAGATACAGTTGCTGTTGGAGTTTAATAGCTCTTGTGTTGTCAGCTCATTTGCTTTAGTAGTGCTCTGAGGTTTTTGTACTCAGATGTCACTTCACATGAAAAAGAATTCAAGGATAAAATTATTTTTAAATGTATTTTTAAGTTGCTCTAAGCAGCAAAAATAATGAGTTGAATGTGGTTTGAACCCTCACCCACATCGTGATGTTGAAGAAATACAGAGCTAACACAACCCCCAGTTTCTATCTCTGTTCACTGTAGTTCTGCCATTGTTTTTAGTACAATAGGGATACTGCTCATGTTATGTGACAGTAATTTACAGCTTGAATCTCCTGTGGTTAACAGCTAAAGCTAATGGGTAGTAGAAAAGACAGAGGACACCCCAGGTATTTAAAGGTAGCCCCTTTCAGGGACCTAATATTATCAATGTCTGAAGGGCCATATTTGGAGACTGATGCTTAAAACATGTTACCCCCTCCATTGCAGTGTTCTGAGGCTTCTTAAAACAAAAAGCCAAAATTAAAATAATTTTTTTAACAGAGTAAATTTTTTATTTTTTCTTATATTCTTAGTGGATTCAAAATGAGTTATTTTTTTCCATATGCATTTTATTATGTGTGTGCATTCTCCGGGATTTTTCCTGTAATCTCCTTTCCTATATGAAAGATTTTCATGCCTTCCTTCCTTCTTTCCAGTCAATATTTTTTCACTAGTCTATTCTGAAATCCAGAAACTACATTTCTGCTAATTTTGGCAGCCTACTTCTGTGTTCTTTTCAGTAAAAAAACTATTACAAAAACAATTTTTTTGGTGAACTTTCTTTGCTTCAATTCCCATTCTTTTGAAAAAAATGATGAAAGATGAGTTTTGGGTCAAATATATCCTTTAATATTCACAGAGTTCAAACAGAGCTCCTCTCTAAGATGAACAGCTTCTGTGTACTGGACAACTTTGGCAAATGCTAAAATAATGCCCTATCCCTGGAGGTGTTCAAGGCCAGGTTGGATGAAGTCCTGGGCAACCTGATCTAGTGGGCCCATGGCAAGGGTGTTGGAACTAGATGATATTTAATGTCCCTTCCAACCTGAGCCATTCTATGATAATCTGTCACAGCATTTCATAATGAGGCTTACTAGTTAAGCAGATTCCCCAAACTGTTACTGAATTATGGCGATGGAATGTGTTTTCTTACCTGCTTGCTCCTTAAAGGCAAGTATGTGCTATGAACTGTTTGAAGTGTATACCTCTAATATCTGCCCTCTTCATATTTTTCATGAGGCAACTGTACAGAAAGCACTACTGTATTCAATAGACAGGTAGTATATCTGAAGAATTGGTTTATTATCTTCTCCACGATAAACTGAGCTCATTCCTCATGTTTCTAGGGTGAAAAAGCACAAACAATTGGTCAGATTGAATTCTGCTTCACCAAGGAATTGCAGCTGAGAAACTGCACAGAGCCGAAGGGTGAATCCAGCAGATTGCAGACTGACTTGCAGCTTGGAAGTCGGGAGCTGTCTGTCTGCAGTGACACTCTTCCAGTCTATTATCCTTCACAGGTCCAACATCGCAAATGAAGCCACAAGAATTTGAAAAACTGTTTAAACAAAACAAATCAACAACAACAAATCCCTTAAACAGTATACCTTGGAAAACAGTCTTGACTTAGCAATATTACAAAACCCTGTTTATTTCAGGTTGCTGTGTGGATTTTTGCTGGCGAAAAAAAAGTCTTTTGCCATTAAAGAAGGAAGGTCCATATTCTAGAATTGGTTCCTTAGGCTGAAGTCTTGAATTGTTGCTCTGATATTGATGGGATCTTTATCTGATTTATAGCTCTGCCTGGACTTCTTGGCTCATTTTTAATTTGAATAAGTGTTCAAACTAGAGATGTGACTTCTTAGTTTCCTATGCAGTTCAGTCTGCCACTTTAGCCACTTCTGTTTTGTGCCGGTGATTCAGAAAAATTAAATAATTCTTTGTTTTGAAAGGATGTTTATCAGCTTCAGATGAGATGACAATTTCTTGAGAAGAAAATATTGTAAATCAGAAGAACTTGAGACCTATCTAGAGATCCTTTCCCAGATAATACCAGCTGCCTTGTGTAAATTTGCTTTCCAGAAGTTCTGAGCAAAGACCACGTCCTTTGAAGCATTAAACCTTTCCTCACCCAGAGATCAGAAAGAACCAAAGATGACAACCTTTACATAACTCCTTAGTGAATGAAATAGCATGCACTGGGTCTTGGCTTCTCTGCCAATAGGACCCCCAGAAGCCTGTAGTTGCAGCCTTGCCTGTTCTTAGATTGACTTTGTTACAGTGACTTCATACAGTCATGAAGAATGACAGATCTTAAGTTACCTGCTGGCATAGTAAAATAGTGTTAGACCTTAGAAACACATTATTCTTAATATTTCATAGTATTTGAATATTTAACGTTTCCACAGAAGTGTGGGCCCAAACTTTATTTAAAAATGAGATTGTCGCAAAATCACTTGGCTCTAAGAAACCGCTTTTTATAGGTAAGCAGTAAACACTGCAGGAATTTCAGTGAAAAGTACAAATGTTAGCAGTAGTGTTTTTCTGTCCATTAACAGTTGATAACAATCCACAAAGTTGGATGTTTCCAAATAAAACCAGATTTGGGTAATATCCTCTACACAGTGCTGTGTTGATGCAAGTGTCTCAAGTTGTCTTTCAAAAGACAATTGTGGCTCAAAGAAACACCTGTTAGAAAAAATAGAACTGTAAAAACATCAAATGCAGTGTTAAGAACATATTTATCATGTATTTTGGGTTTAGAAACCATTCACGTTTACTCCCATTTTGACTGCCCCTGCCCCTTTTATTTAAGGCTCAGTTTGCCTTTCCAGAATGCTGTCATTTTTTTTCAAATTCTCACTTTAGAAACTTGGATTTTTTTTTATTATTATTTTTAATACCCAAGTAATAAGTATGATTTGCACTCTTTTATGTCTACATTTCAGTAAAGTGAGGGTGTCTCTTTCAGAATGTCTTCCTTCCTGAGAGCAGGAGCATAACTACTGTAACCTATTTGAAGCATGCTATACAGCCTTTAAAGTTACTCTTTCCCCTTCCACCCCTAGGGTTTTACTGGAAGTACTAGAAATAGACCTTTGTCATCAAAACTGTGGAATTCTGAAGGGAAAAGACTTAGGATGCAACATGATATTTGCTATATAAAGCAATAAATTTACTGTTGTTTTAAATATGTTAGTATTCTTGGGTGAACTGGTTTCAAATGCTGTTTGATTGTATTAAATCTGAGATAGAAGTGTTTTTTCCAGTGATTTTTGGATGGTAAGGCTAAGATTGATACTTTCATCCTTTTTCAGACATCATTTTTCAGCAGTGTATAACAGGATGAGTCTTGCTGCTGACTGTGTCTGCACAGTTCATACTGAATTCAGTGAGAACTTTGCATGTATTCAGAGTGCAAAAGGTTACTCAAAGACCAGAAATAATCTACTGCTTATCAGTAATTTTTGGACATTTCACTGACATTCCCTGAAACAGTCAGAAAAGGTATGTTATCGTCTGGAAATACTGTGGTGATTCAATAGTTTCTCAGGGATTGACTTAAATAATTATGTGTAATATTCTGATACTAAGAACAGCAGACAGCACTTTCTAAAATTCCCATATGTATGTATATTTTTGTGTGTATTGTGTATGGTAACATGTTTGTAACTGTACTGGCTCTGGCTGGGATGTTAGCTTTCCCTGTGGCAGCCCATACAGTGCTGTGCTCTGCACTTGCAGCTAGAACAGCAGTGGTATCACACTAGTGCTGTGTCTGCTGCTGAGCAATATTGGCACCGCATCAGGACTTTGTGTAATCCCCTGGGAGTCAGCAGGCTGGGGGCGAGCATTAGGTGAGGAAGGAACATCACCAGGGCAGCTGACCTAAACAAACCAAAGGCATATTCCATACCATATGGTGTCACACTCAGCATTTTTTTGTCACACTCCTTCCCTTTTTCCACCTTTTATTGCTTTTTATAGCAGTACAGACCCAGTACAGCAACTAAGGACACTGCTAGAGGGTTGCTTTATTCATGAGTTGTGTTTAAGAAATTGTTAATGTTCAAAAGCTAATAAAAGATGAATACAAAATCACAATGAGTTCAGTTAAATTAAATTCTTTCATTTCTGTTTCAGCATTACCAAGTTTCCCATTGCTGCATTTGTGATTCTATGCAGGACTTTAATTTTATGTTTTTGATACTGCCATGTGTTATGGTACTGATCTAACATAACACACTAAAGCCCGGGACAGTATTAGGGCACTACCTAGGGTGTTAGCTCTCGAAGGCTGGGATTGCTCTGCTTAGTTCCTGTCTCTGAAACTGGTAGTCAGCTGTCTGTGTCTACAACTGATTGCAGTCAGTACTGAATAACATGAGTATGGGTGGTATCGATGCTACAATTTTAAATACCCACAATAACAAATGGTACTAGAATTGCTGAATGTGAGTACTGTAGTGACTCTTGTGATGACAGCCTTGTTCCCCTACCTGTGCAATTCATCTCCATTGTGTTGTTCCCTTATGCCAGTCTCCTTCAAGGAGCAGTGGTATCCTTGCAAAACCTTTCCACACAGCAGTAGGACAGGGGAAATGGGAGACAAGCCATGCTGTTCTGCCCCTTAAGTGGGAATACCTGAAGCAGCTTTGCCCAGGATCGTATCTAGTGCAAGGGCTGGGGGGCACTTCAGGACGCCATCTTCTACTCCTTTTCACAGTAGAAGCTGTGTGCAGAATGCTCACGTATGTACATTTTAGATTATTTAGATTATTGGCACTTCTTTGCGTAAAAGTCAGTTGTTTTTAAAAAGCTTTTGTATCTTCCCAGAAGTTAGGCAGGTGGAAGCTGTCAAAATCAAGCAATGTTAATGGGATGTAGTGTTTTTATGCTAGCCATGTGAATGTGAACAGAGGCGTGAACAGAAGAATCACCATTCCTCATTCCTGCATTTCTGCCATCTTCTTTATGAGAAAAGGCAAGGAAACAAAGTGCTTGGAAAGACGAGAGTGTGCTTGGTTTCTATGGAATCTTTTTAAGATGACTAACATTATTTCCTTTCACTTACAAAAATTATCTTTGCCTAAAGAAAGCAGAGGCTTGTGAAAATGCATTACTCTGAAAAGGAACCAGCCCAAGGCTTGTACACTTTTAAAATCTTGAATTCTTTTAAATAGAACTTAAATGGTACATAGGTTTTGGGTGGACTATAGCATGAAAACCAGTTAGAATGAATGATAAGTTATAATTACCATCATAAGCTTTTAAAAGAAGCAAGGTTTTTGTTTGCTTGTTTGTTTTTGTTAATGGTCTTTATTTATTTATTTATTTCCTTTGGTGAAGTCCTGTGCTCTCTTTTTCCATTCAAAGTTCACAGAGTACAGTGCCACATCCTTGGTTATTAATCTGATCTGTAAGGGAAGCAGAAACTATCATCAGACCATTGCAAGAACATCTTGTTCAACAGTTTTCAGTCACTAGTTAGGTTGTGAACACAATTCTCAATTAGAACAATAGACTTCTCAAAATCTTACTAAAATATTGTCATCCTGGGAGCAGGTGTGGCATGAAAAAGTTTGCCAGTTGTTTCAATTCCTTCTTCCTCTCCACAGTTGCAAGGAAAGCCTGAACTTAGAAGCAACGGTAGCATTATTGGTTCCTGTACAGGCATTTGCTTAATGGAAGCTTGAATCGATAAGCCTGATTTTTTTTTTTTCTTTTTAATTGCAGTATAAATTATGTTTTCTTCTATATTGCCAAATAATGCTTAGGGAGACAAAATTTACAGTATAAGAGTTCTCTGCAGTTCAATCATAATGCGTTAGTTTAAGCAAAGCCAACAGCTGCAAATACCTGCTTCAGAAGGAACTAACATGGACACTAACAGCCTTCATGGTGTGATGCTCAAGGGTAAAGCTTAATCTTATCAAACAGAGTCAGCAGATACAAACAAGAGTCAGAAACTACCAGCCTCTGCAGCAGAGTAGACAGTGTAGCTTCCATGCACTTTTCAGCCTCATTTTCAAGTGCAAGAAATGTAAGGGAGTTACCAGGTTTTAAAATGTTGAGGAGAAATTTGTTATCTGAAACAGGAGAGGGAGAGGGAGACTGTAAAGTCAGCAGCATGCTAAGCAACATCCTGCTACAGAATAAAAAAAAATGATTGATTGATGAAGGCTAATTCAAGGTGGGCTAAAAGTAACCTCACAGACAGACTGAAATGGTTGAGGTTGGCAGGAAGCTCTGGAGGTCCCCTGGTCCAAACCCTGCTCCAGCAGGGTCACCCAGAGCAGGCTGCCCAGGGCCGTGTCTAGGTGGGTTGTGAAGTTCTCCAAGGAGGAGACTCCACAACTCTCTGGGCAACCTGTGCCAACAGCTTCCTGATGGTTAGCCAGAACCTCCCGTGCTCCAGTTTGTACCCACTGCCTCTTGTCATGCCACTGGGCACCACTGAAAAGAGCCTGGCTCCATACTAAGTACGCTCAAGTACTGCTTAAGGGACAAATCCGAGGTATTGTATTTGCCTGAAGAAAAAAAACCAAACACTCAAATTCCTTTTATTTTGGCAATGCTATTACACATTTAGTATTTCAATTTGCTGTGATTAATATATTCGCAGTGCTACACACAACTGCCCTTGTTTGTTGTTTGACAATCCCACCTGCGTAGCTTCTAGGAAGCTTCTTAAAAGCTTTTTATGAAAGCTTTTTAAAAACAACTGACTGATTTTTATGCAGAGAAGTGCAAGACATTATAAAACATTAGTGATGTGTACAAGAGATGCTTTAAGGGCTGTGTCTGGATGTGGACAACCAAAAGAGCAGATGAATGAATGGTAGCACCAGTTCAGATCAAAGATCATGTCCAGCCTTTGTGCTATCTCTATCAATGGCCCACAGCCAGATACCAACCTTGGCAATTGCTTTTCATTAGAGAGTATATAATTTTAAGAGTTTGATTAACACAATTTAAATACAAGAGGTAAACAAAAGTATATTGGAAGCCTTAAAAATCACTTCAGTTCTGAAAAGTGTCACTCACTTCCTTAAGCAAAATAAAATCTATCAGCCTTGAAGAACCAACACTGCCTGGGGAAGATGAGAGTTTTATTCTTTTCTGCATCATTAAATAAATTAACTAAATCCCACCAGGGGAGTTGTTTGTGCAGTTTCAGTGCTTTAAAACTCTAGTCAACTCCACAAAGGGATTAAGCTTGTTTATATCCTTTGTCTATCTGCTCTTTCATGCAAAATGCCTAAGTATCCGTTGGTGTGTAGGTTAGAGCACAGGCTGTTCCATTTCCATGGACAGCCCCTCTTCCTAGACCACACACCGATTATTCTTTTCTTCTCTCTTGTTCCCTCACCCTCTACCTGGCCTGTGTGCAGGTGACCAAGAAGGCCAACAGCATCCTGGCTGGTAGCATGAATAGTGTAGCCAGCAGGAGCAGCGAGGTAATTGTCCCCCTGTACTCTGCTCTGGTGAGGCTGCACCTTGAGTGCTGTGTTCAGCTTTGGGCCCCTCACTACAAGAATGATGTTGAGGCCCCAGAGCGTTCCCATAGCAGGTTTGGGGAGGCCTTATTGCTCTCTACTGGTACCTGAAAGGAAGGTGTGGGGAGCTGGGGATCAGTCTCTTCTCACAGGTAACTAGTAATAGGACTAGAGGGAACGGCCTCAAGTTACGCCAGGGGAGGTTCAGGTTGGAAATTAGGAGACATTTCTTCTCAGAAAGAGCAGTCAGGCACTGGGACAGGTTGCTCAGGGAGGTGGTGGAGTCACCGTCCCTGGGGGTGCTCAAGGAGAGGCTGGACCTGGTGCTTAGGGACATGGTTTAGTGGCTGACATTGGTGGTAGGGGGATTCCTGGGCCAGATGATCTTGGAGGTCTTTTCCAACCTTAATGATTCTGTTATTCTATGTACTAGGCTTCTTTTGGCTGCATAGTAGTCCAATTTCAGACAAATTTGGCATGAGTATGAGATTGTGAAAAGCAGCCTCTATTCATTTCCTTTGTTAAGCATGTTAGCGTGGTCCTGAGTCCCAGTAGCTCAGAATGGGGTGCCCTGCTCTGTGACCTCTGGGTCCATTCCTCTGGTTGGCACCCTGAGGTAACTGCGTATGGCTGTAGGCTGTGAATCCTAAAACACAACCATGAAATGGGTGTTGAGGCATTCAACTCATCCAAAGTGTAACACGCGCAGGCACACAGAGTCGTGCTCTTCAGTTAGCTCTCCATGTGCACATCTATTTGTGCTTAAGGCCACATCCAAGCCCTGGTCTGCAAACACCTTCATAACTCAGTTAAGCCAGAAGGCCTGGGGGCTGAGTTATGACGTGGGACTGCATACAAAGTAAGTGGGAGCAGGCTCCCCTGCCAGCAGACAGCTGGTTGGCAGCACTGAACAGGAGCAGAAGACGTGAGGAGCAGAGCAGAACAGAGCTCTCCCCAGTGCTCCTGGCCTTAGCAGGAGCAGCGACCAGTCACCACTGCCCAGCTGATGCACCAAGCGCCTCTGCAGGTGAGCCAAGTCACATAAGTGCAGACAGTCTAAATACCTACAGCAGCAAAGCAGTAGCTGCTGGCTCTGATGGTGTGGACAGGGGATTTTCAGAGGGATGTCTCTCTATATTTGTCCACTGCAGCTCTGGTGCAGTTGCGCTTCAGGCAGCTGTGCTCTGTTAGATCTAGCTGTGAGCACCACATAGCCAAGGCCATAGCAGGTTAGTGGCGCCACTAACCATGTTATTGCTGCCTGATGATGGTACTGAGAACACAAAGGGAAAATGTCAGGCATTTGCAAGTCACTTTCCTAATAATGGAGCAATCCATGATGAGGAATGGTATATTTATCCTAAATTCAGACTGTCTTGCTGCTCAGGCAGCTTCTTTCACAAGGCTCATGTCACATCTTCCCTTCCTGCAGGTAAGGATTCCCTGCTATACAAAATTGCCTTAGGTCACCCAAACCTGGTATAAATCATGCATTTTTGAAGGGATTTCAAATTCTTGTGCTTTGGAGATAAAGAGTTTTGGTATACAGGCTAATTGAGACCTTATGTGGGAGATGAGCAGTTTATTATATGCTTGTGTACTATGATCTTTGTTACTCCTTTACCCAAAAAAACCCTGACTGGATGGACATAGATTGGGCAGGGATTTGTTAGACCCCAAGAGCAGCTATGCCCAGGAGTGCCTCCAGATGGGTGGTATGAATCCCCTGTGTATCTTCAGCATGAAAATCACAGCACTGACATTCAGATACAGTGTGCAATTTGAAGGACTGACGTTTTAGTTGTCTTTTATTAACAACAAAAAAAAAAAGCGCTAAAATTATCATATTTAGTAATAAAATTATTGAAGAATCCCATGGTGCTGTTAGTAAGAAATACTTTTCTGAGAACAACCTCAGTTACCAGAAAGGAGGCTGTTCACCTAAGACTTTTCTGTAAGTCACACAATCGTTTTCATTAGGAACCTGTGCTGAGCATGTACATCAGAGAAGAGAAGTCAAAACAAAATTAGCAAGAACCAAAAGAACAGCAGTTACCCTGTAATAATTACCATCTCCATAAACAAGCCTGATGCATCCCAGTAGGCACCTGCCACCAGATTACTAACTTCTGCTTATTACAGCTGAGTAAAGCTTGCTGTTGCCAGCCTTGGGGACAGGCTGCCCTCTTGACAGGTCCTCAGCTGCAGGCGGAGGAGCCATGCGCAATCCCAGGGGAGGCACGATGCTTGCTGGGGCAGGAAGAGCTGTCACATCACACAAGTGCTCTCATTTTAGCCCATCAGCCTTCCACAGACCTTATTGCTTAGGTTCAGCTGTGATCATGAAAATCACAATGCAGATGTCTTGTGCTATCAGTTCCCAGTGCCAGCTACTGCACATTCCTTTTGAAAATAATGTTGTGAAGGGACTCCTAGACCCTGTTTCTCAAGTATTTGCCAAATGCCTGAGGCATGCATTTCAGAAAGACTTACTTGCCAGGAGGCTGGCTGACTGATGGGTGAAGTGGGAAAGACTTTTGTCTCCTGGGCCCTTGGGTGTCAGGGGCTGACATGCAGGTACCCTGCTTTGGGGGCACTCATCTTACTAGCCACAGCTGCTCCTGCATCATTTATCCTCCATCCCCTCTGTATTTTAGGAGATTTCATCCTCACCACTTCTGGGGATCCAGAGAACAGCTTGTTACTTGTAAAATCTACTGGGGAATCACCATAACAAAATAGCTCTGGGACACAAGTGGCTCTCTCATCTCCAGTGCCTCATTTTGTTTTCTCTTAGATTCCCTTTTTTATCATCAGGGAAGGACAGACCACGCTCTTTGATCTCACAGAGTAACCAAATCTTTCATGAAGGCACAGATATAGTAGAAAAGAAAATTTTCTTAACTCTCACAGACAAAATAATTGGAAAAGAGATACCTACATTCTTCTGCTCTTCTTTTCTTCCTGGAAACCTTTCTATCAGCCTTTTGTTTTGAGAGATGCTGGCTGTGAAGATCACTGGGGGTCCAGAGGAGAGGAGGCATGTTGATGGATAGCTTTTTATCCCTTATTCATTATCCCTTTGGCACCTGCTTTCTGGCATGTCTGAACGATGATCAGGCTTGCACACACCTGATGAATACACCTGACTGAGAACAATGCCTGAAAAGATAACTTAAAAAGATGGCAAAAATGAATATTCACTATACCAGTTAGCAGTCTGGGACCTCCCTTCCTAAGCCTTTTGGGAGAAACCAGGTAAACCTGAGTTTCCCAGAATCAGAGCTGATGATTTGCATGTCTAAGTCCCCTGAATGTCACAAGAAGCACATGTGGGTTTTCAGTCTGTCTCCGAGAATTTGGTAAGTGGCATTTCTGACTATTTCACATCTCCAGATGAATTCTGCTGGAAGCCACCAGCGGTCAGTGGTGGAAATTTTCATGGCAGGCAGGTCGTTTTGTAAGCCACGGGGAGCCAGATGGAGCCAATTCCATAATCCTGAACTATAAATAATGCATTATTTAATACAGAATTTGAAGTCCCTGAAGGCTTGCAAATCAGTCACATAATAGCTTTTCGTGTTAGACACACTGAATGTTGTAATAACCTGATGTCGTTTTGAACACAGTGATTAAGTATTCAGTTTACAAGACAAATGGAGACTCATTAGAGTCAATCAGAGAAGAATTACACGAACTTAAATTGCAGGTATTTATCACAGTTCTCAAAAGAATATTTTAGTAGATATTTTGTAAGAAAAAGTTGCTGCTTTGTTATTCTGTAAAAGTACTGCCTTCTTCATAAAGAACTAATGAGATCTTTTTCCAGTCCTGATGTTTTATGGTAATCTGACTGTACTATGTCATTTTACGTCATTGTGCAGTGAAATAGTGAGTGTGACAATGGATGTCCTATCGGCAATTTTTTACCAATCTATTTTAAGCTTTTGCCTTTGTGATGACTAGAATGAAAGCTTTACTTTAGCTAATGCAATAGGAACTGAATCAGCCATCAGTGACTTCCAGTACACTATCCATGGGGGAAAAAAAAAAAGGCAGAAAGAAAACGTAATATTTGACATGCTTAGTTTGTTATGTTTGCTTAGTGTGAAAAATGTTGGGAATTTGCAGTAATTTAGAGTTTAATGACATAAAGAATACAAAGTTTTACAGAAATACAGAATTCAGTTCAAAATACATTCATTCTTTTTATGATTCAGAATTTGTATGATTTCAATTCTACCTATCTCTGTAAGTTTTTTTTTTACTATATTTATCTCTTTTAAATAAGATTGCCTAAGCTGTGATAAGGCTGCCAAAAGCCAATTAACAATATTAGAGTAATACTTTGTAGCTGAGGAACTGGAATAAAATTATTTCAATTTAGCTAGGGATTGCAAAGTAAAATATTAAGTATTATCAGAACTAAATTTAGAGAAAGAAAGCCATAGACTGAGGCTGCTTTTCAGAAACTTGCTTAACATTTTTTTTCCCTGAAATTCTCTGCAGCACAGCAGACCTATCCTGTTGACTCCAGATAACAGCATTTGGAGCTCCTATTGATTCAAGACAAAGATTTATTATTGGTAGAACAAATCACAGTCAGGCACTGCTAATTAATAAATAACCTTTGCATCAGAAATGGCTTACAGTAAAGCTCCTGTTTTAACTGCCTATTTGCAGTAACAGTGTGCTTCTCTTCTAGGTTATTTGGCATTGTTTGTATCTACACCGAGAGGCTGTGTTTTGTACTCACTCTTTGTGAAGATATAATTTACATGGTCATCCTCTGGATTCTCACAGCCACCTTCAGCCTCATTAAGAGAAGCTGCTATTCCAAGACAACTGCAATTTGCATTTAAGTAAGAGAGCAGAAAGGTTTTCAGATAAAAGCATATCAATTAGATTGTTTTGCCTGAGAAAAGGAGTTACATTTTCATAAGAAGAAGGGGGCAGTTTTGCCTTAATTTTCTTAGACTCCGAGATAGGGAGCAATCCTTGATGCAGCCTGACTGCACCAGAAGGTTTATTACCAAATTTTCTTCTGTGCTTTATGTATTATTGGAATTAACAACCAAGTACACTGCTCTCAGAAGCATTCCAGGGTAGCTTAAAATAGATTAAATTTGTATGGTTGGTGTAATTTATATGACAATAAGCAGTTCATTTTCTTGTCATTTTAAATTCTGCTAGTTATCATTTTTTTTTGGAAACAATTCAGTTCTGGGAAACATTTTCCAGTTTTCTGGGTAAAAAGTGGGATTTTGTCATAATTATGGACAGTCAAACCAGCTGACACACCAACCACGTCCATATGAGACAAAGAGCCAATTTGTTCCTGAACTTAGCCAGAACATTTCTGACTCCCAGTTGCTGATGTTGTGGTTATTGGCCACATTTTCATAGCTGGGAAGAACAGCTTCCCAAGACAACCTTTTTTTGCTAGTCATAATTTTATTTCCCAGTGAGCCTTTCCTAAAAATAGGACTTCAACATCCATTAGAAAATACCAATGCAGCAAAGACACTTGCAATTCCAAGAGCATTGCGATGTGGGGCTGTGCTTTGTAGTTGACTCAAAGTATCAGCAATATGTCAGACAATTCACTTCTGAAATTCTGGTACTAATACTTCTGAACTTCTGCAGAGCTTACATTAGCCTTCTTATTCTGGTTTGTACGGAAGAGGGGAAGAAACTGAAGGACCAAGTGACTTGCTGCAGCTCACACAGAGAAATAACAAAAGCCATGGCCAGACCCTTGTTTGGTCCTGCATATATTAGGCAAAACTGGATTTGCACCATTAGTTGCTCTGTTCTGTAATGGATTTGGCAGAAGGTTGGTTTGTGTGACATAGATCTGAGTTATAAATAATGTTATTTTGTGCCTACAGGTGCTGCTTTACAAATAAAATGACTGCAGGAGCAAAACAGTCTGAAAGCTAAATGCCATATATCTGAGTTCAAAATGTACTTATTTAGAGCATTAAGGCAAGTGAACATCCATTTTAAAGCACTTTTAAGACAACTTTCATTTCACCTAGGCAATATGCATTGCCCACATGGAGATGCATTTTTACTGCCCTTGAAAACTTGGAAAACCGGAGTGGGTGGAAAGCTGTGCTGTGCCTGAAGAGTGTGTTTCAATGATGTACCCACCCGCTGAGAACACAGGGGCCTGAGAGAGCTTTCCTGAACTTCACGAAGGGTGCTGCCCCATACAAACATGCTGGATTTGGGATATCCAGGTGTGAAAACCTTTCCTATTTCACAAGCAGAATAAAGTCTTGTATCAGGATTTCCCCAAACCTAAGATCGTGCCTAGATGCTGCGAAGCCAGACGTGGGCTGTTGTCCTCCACCATGTGCCAGGAGGGGTGGCACCACCGTTATCAAGGTGGTTTCAACATCGCTGTTTGCTCTAGGTCTTTGCCAGTGGTTTGGGGGTTTCTTTGAGATAAATTCTGCACCTTGAAAGTTGCTGTGAGGCAGGAGATTGTTTTGCAACTGGGAGCAAAGGGACAGCATGCAGCAAGGGTCAATCTTCCTCTTGGGTATTTCACTTTTAAGTCTCTGAGTGTCAGAGGTTTGACAATGGGTAGCGGATTAACAGGGATTAATCTAATCAGTTACACTCAGAAATAAAGAAGTAAACGAATAGAAGAACTTTGAAATAGCAGTATGATTATTTTGTGGAATAAACACCAGCCCCATGAATAGGCTCAACCAACCTAAAGTAGCCTCTCCACTCCATTGGCAATCCATGGTGGAGCTCATATGTTCTGATCCCAGCAGATTCCTCCAGCTGGCACCAAGCAGAGCAGGGGCTAACAGAGGAAAGTTGTCCCTGTTAAAATCATTTGGAGGGTGCTGTCTGAGAGATCTTTTAATTAGATATACATCTAAATCAGGGCAGCTGTTTGCCTGTTGTACTTTTTGTTGTTGTTGTTGTTATTTTGTTTTATTTTCCTGCTGCATGATTTTTAGCTACTCAGTCATGTTTTTGCACGATAATACAGTCATGGAAATGGTTTAAATCACCTTATGTAAGAAACCTCTAGTCAATCATGTCACAGTAATGTCATAAGGAAAATCACAGCAAAATTTATTAAAATGTCATACAAGTTATTTAGGATGTCATAAACAATATTTGTCTGTTTTTAGTAACACTGAGATATACTCATTCGTGTAAGCCTTCTCGTCTCAAGTGATAACAGACAAGTGGTTAAAACATGGAGAAGAATACTGTCTCACATGCCTCCTTATTACATGCTGCCCAACAATTTTATATATATATATATATATATATATTAAACATGCTACTGTGAGGGTTTATTATTGGTTAAAATGAAGCTGGTTTTACTGCAGTGAAAACTTTATCAGTTATTACTGAAGTCAGAATATCCTGACATGAGAAATGAATATTTTCCAAACTCCAATTAACTAGGTTGAACAGAGATTTAAAGACATGACTTAGTACTGGTGACCTATAGAAATGATAGGTGTGTAATTATTTCTAGAACATTTACGCCAGCCATTACTTTAAGCATTTAAGCACTGGAAGCATTTTCAGTAGAAGCATTTGAAAAACAGCAAATTATAAAGTAAAGCTAGGTTTTAAGAACAGTTTACAAGCTGAAATTTATATTCACAACTGAAGTAGCTAAAACAAATGGAACTTTATTCACAGTAGACAACACATAGGTCAGCCATCATTACGGTGTTAAAATTAGAAATACTTAGGTACTTAGATAACCACAGGCATACCGACTTCATTAATCAAGATACCAAAGAACACATATCTGAATATTAAGCATTGCAAAGTTTCATAGAAGTACACGAGCTGCTGAAACACTCAAAAGTTATTAACCAGTTTTGTTCAGATGCAAAGCTACAATTCTTTGCTCACTGCACAAGTCTAGCTTGCTAGAGAGCTTTGATTTCTCTTCCTCTGCTCTTAAAAGTGAGAGGTAAAACTCAGATGGTCTGGGCTGCAGAGGTGGCCCCTGAGGTCATTTGTATTCATCATGAGACCTTCATATTTAGGAGATTATCCATGAGGTCTGGTCATTATTTCAGCAAAAATATCCTGAAGCACCTGAGCAAATACACACAGCTTTCTACCTTTTCAATGGTTGGTGCAGAATATTCTTCCAACAGGAAAGAAATAAAGCATGAGCTTCTCGTTGCACTAATAGAACTTTGTTCTTTTCAAGACAAAACTTAATTATCAGAAAAGGTCTTCAAGACAATATGAATCTGTAGCTAAATGCTACATTTTCTCTTGGGTGGACCAATAATTCTATTACACGTTCATATCTGTGGCTGAGTGGTTCCCCAATATCTCTTATTTTAATAACAAATTATCACAGTATTTCAGTTCAATATGGATGACATATAGTTGTAAATCAGGCAGGGGGTTCAAACTGTCGTATAAAAATTCTACTTAAATAATAAAAAAATACCGCGTATAACGCTGCCCATAAATATGTACAAATATATGTAAATATGAAATCAAGCAAGTTGTTAAAACTTACTGCATTTTCCTCGCTGTATATGTGGCTGACACTGAAAATGCTAAATTACCTGACAGAGGAATTTTTTTCCTTCAGTTTCAAGTCCTGTTTGTATAGTCTTCCGACAAATTGTTAAATTTAAAATCTTTTGAGGAATTCTAAGCATAGTTTTCCTTTATTGTGCCTTAGAGCTACTAGGAAAATTCAAAGAAAGTTTGTGCTTATATAAAACTGGTCCAAGACCTAAGAACATTGACACTGATCTCATAGCAAATTCACTTGTTTGTGGTTGAACTGTGGATTTAAGGGTCCTTCTGTACTTGGCAGGAATTCTTGCTCATTGTCCATGCAGCTATCCTAAACGTTGTACAACCATTTAGGTGCAAGACGCTCTGATCCCAAGATGTTACCTGGATTTAAAATTCATTTTAAAGGCTAAAATAGACTAATCATACTTTTACCACAGAGACACATTACTGTCTAAAGACTACTTAGGAAAGTTAATCAAAGACTGAAATTAGGACAGCTTCGGTCTGTCACAGTCTGAGGATCTGTGAGATAGAGCAATACCTGTGATGCATAAAGGTGGAAAAATATTTCAATTAATGCTAAATAAAGCATGAGATCCTGATGATTTGGGAAGATAAAAATAGCTTTGTAAAGATGAATGCAAAGAAATGATATGTAAAAGGGCAGCACAAATAAGAATTTCCCTACAGGACAACATTTTGGTTTAGCTCAGGGGGTGAAATACTCAGGGTGTAGGGATCCTTCTTTTAGCTCCCTTTTTTGCTCCAGAGGATCTGCATTTCCTTATACTCCTGGGAATCCTGGCCTGGCAGACCCATCTGGTTTGGGTCGTTTCAACTATTAGTATCACTGTTTCCCTTTGCACAACATTGATTTTTTCTGATAGGACTGGGTCTTGGGACTCCCATCCATCTGCTGAATGTTCAGGACATGGAATATTAATTGCCTCTTTCCTACATCTCAGAGAATTCTTAGTTGTTTTATGAAAGGTTCAGCAGCTTTTTCAAGAAGACCAAGGTGTTCCTCCACTCAAAGAATAACAATTAAGGACACTGTTGGGTGTGGAGAGTAGGAAGTGTGGGTTAAAGTATCTCCAGGGCAAAAAGTTGACAGCAGATCTGCAGTTGTGAAAAGGAAAGGTAATTTCTGCAATGCACCTCTTTTTCTAGAAGACACGTTCATAGAATGAGGTATGAGTAAAAAAAAAAAAAAAAGGTAGGAGTAAGCTCCTACCTACTGTAGATACAGTAATAGGTATGTGTCAGCCAATCTGGAGACTCATTATTCTATAATTATTTTATTATACATTATCTTTTCTGTCCTCCTGTGTTTTTTTATTACTGTTATTACTTTTTTAATTTTATGAGAAATATCGTTCTTCTGCATTGCAAATAAGTTAGAACCCAGTTCCCCTTCATTGAGCTCAACACCTCCAGGAAATTTGAAAGTGCATTTTTCTTTTTCTTTTTTTTTTTTTTTTAAGGATGAAAGAGACTGAGCATCTTACTTATATATGAACACATCTCTTATTGAAACATTTCATAGGTTCTGTTGGCTTATGAATGTGAACTTGTTACAGGAGGTACCAGACAGTCCACCTGGGAATCAGAAGGTAAAAGCAGGTTCATCTGGTGTCCCTTGAAAATGCCACATCAATGTTCAGAGCTTGAAGAGGTGGAAGTAGGAGCTCACTCAGGTCAAAAGCTGGATGCAAATGGGTGAGTGCAGCCTGCTGCTGGAGAAGGTCAAGGGGACAGGCACTGTGGGGAACTTGGACTTCCTGGAGTGAGGAGCACAAGGCTCCTGACAGCATTATGAAGGCCCTGAAGTTCTTACCAGTGACGTTCTTATAGATGGTCCAGGTTAGCTGAAAAGAATCATAAAAACTATAGAATTATTAAGGTTGGAAATGACCTCCAAGATCACCTGGCCCAACCATCCCCATACCACCAATGTCACCCACCCTGTCCCTAAGCACCAGGGACAGTGACTCTACCACCTCCCCAGGCAACCCACTCTAGCACCTGACTGCTCTTTCTGAGAAGAAATGCCTCCTGGTTTCTAACCTGAATGGCTGGACCTGTAGGGTTAATTCCCAGCCTTAGCCTCAAAAATCAGCTGAAGGCAACCATTTTGTTAATTAGATGTTAATTTGATTAGGGAGTTAAACCCTGAAGACACACCTGAGTGTAATGAAACTCACGTGGGGACACACTACACCTCTGAGAGAATGAACATGGGTGTGGATACGTTAAATTATGTTGGGGAAGGAGAGAGGAATTATTCCTTGCACTGTTTTACTGTTTATGGAAGATAGTTGGAAACACTGCGAGGGACTTCTACCAGCTGTTCAAGGACTGAATGAAACTGCAATCCAGTTAAACTTAAACCTTTTGTTCTTATTCTTTCTTCAGTTACCTTGGTTTTACGTGAGCTTGCCAAGCCTTGAAAAGCAAATTGCAGGTCTAGTGGGTAAGAGCATCTCAGAGCCTGCAATATACTCCATGTGTCTGTTTGAGTGGCTCTAATAAGGATAAGGGAGCTTTGTTTTGAAATCCAGAAGCATAACTGCTCTTGCAGAATTCTGTTCTTTGCAAAGAAAATCGTCCTTCATTTTCACAGTCAAAGCTAAGATATTTGGTTTAGCTTTGATTGCTGTCACACTCCATTCCCTGGTTGAGTGCTGCTATAGAAATGCTACAAACAGTCTTAAATCTTCACCAGTCTAATTCTTGTCTGTCCTGATTTCAGTTAGGACAGAGTTAATTTTCTTCCTAGTAGCTGGTAGAGTGTTATGTTTTGGCTTAGGATGAGAAGAGTGCTGATAACAGGCTGATGTTTTAATTGTTGCAGAGCAGTGCCTACACCAAGCCAAGGACATTTCAGCTTCTCACTCTGTCCTGCCAACAGGCAGGCTGGGGGTGCAGCAAGAGCTGGGAAGGTACAGACCCAAAGCAGCTGACCCAAACTAGCCAAAGGGGTATTCCATACCATCTGACATCATGCTGAACAATATACGTGTATAGGGGTGGCTAGCTGGGGTGGAGGGCTATCTGCTCGGGGATAGGCTGGGCATAGGTCAGTGGGTGGTGAGCAATTGCACTGTGCATCACTTGTTTTGTACACATTATTATTAGTAGTACTATTATCATCATTATTATTATTGTTATTATTATTGTCCTGTCTTAATAAACTGTCTTTATCTCAACCCACAGGCTTCACTTTCCCATGTCTCTCCCCCATCTCAGAGAGGGAGGGTGGAGGGTGAGTAAATGGCTGCCAGCTGGGTTAAACCACAACATTGTCTCGTTTTGTTAAGCCTTTGGTCAGATGATAGTCATGTCCACTTGCTCTCCTGTGCATAAGACATTGACGTTTTCTTGAAGGCTGCCTTAATAATTACATAAGATAAGTTATTCTATTCTTGTAGAACAACTGGGTTTCTTTTCCAATACGAGTAAGTTTTTATTGATTGCTATTCATACAGCAATTTGTCAGGCTTTTGCTTTTCATGCAGTAGTTCACAAATTACTTTTTTTTTTTTTTTTGAGAAATACAAAAACAAGCTAGTGACATAATGTTTCTTGAAGCAGAGCAAAGAAAACATAATTTAGAAGGGGACAACAAACATAAGTCAAATATAAAATTCTACTGTAGACTTAATTTTATTTAGAATCAAGAAAACAGACAAAATTGGAACAAGAAATGTACAAGACCAACACAAATCTTTGGTGTTTTCATTCAGTTCAGTGGCCTCAGTAAATCAAGTGTTCAAATCTTTTCCAAGTTCTTGCTAGTGTGTTTTCTGTAGGTGAAGAACTTGGAACTGAAGTTTATGAATTCTACCAGAGCTTCCTGACGTCATCAGATAGCAAAATACAAAGGAAAACATATACAAAGTAAATCATATTCAAAATACAAAGGAAAACATAAATCAATAACTCAGATTGTTTTGCTAGATGTGATTTTTTTTTCTATTACATCCTCTTTCTTTCAATAACCACTGTTAGCAATAGGACCAACATCACTATAAGTCACTATTACTAAAATTTTATGCTCCAGGACCTGTAGCTAACCAACAGCAACTAGCTCCATAAGAAGTGAAGTGCTGCTGATGCAGCAAAGAAGCAACTACTTCAGCCATCCCAGGAAACTTTTATTCTGGAAAACTCCAGCCCAGAAACCCCTAGAAAGCATTCTTAGTACTAAAGATTTAATACTTGCCTTCCCCAATAGAACCCAGAATCATGTGGAGGCCTGATGATGGGTGGTCCTCACCCAGGTGGCCCTCACTATGTTAACAAGGAGCTGTAAATTAGTGCAGGTTGAGCACTCCACTGATTGGGTCTTCTTTTGTAGTTTGTACTGCTGTTGTATGGGGCTGCAACCTTTTCTGTGAGGTACATGTGGATGTGTACCACCATTGGCTTCTGGAGACTTTGTACTGCTGAGCTGTGACCTGTGAAGGTGAGAAAATGGCTTTGAACAACCTTATTTCCTTACTGTTTTTGAGGCAGGGGAAGAAGCCTGGCTTTTCCATTTGCTTTCACAGCATGACAGGATACAGCTCTGGGCTGTAGCTTGCTGTCCCTAGCAATCTCCTCCAACTGCCGCCTTTGTGAACAGCAACTGCAGTGATGAGGGGGGAAATCTTCCTGGAATTGTGCGGTTAATAGATGCAGGTTGGACTACAGTCTAAAAAAACTTCACTTATCCTTTGTAAAGTACTTCATTTATTGAGTTCAGGTATTGAAGACTGTACCTCAGTGATCTTACACTCATGTCTGGAAAAATAACTGGTGGTGTTCACTAGGAATAGTAATCAAAAAATATAGCATGACACACTTTAAAGAAGAAGAAAAAAAAAACAACAACAACCCGTTACCATGTTTTGCATGTTTAAACTTCAAAACACTGAAGAAATTCACTCAAAAATAGGTTTTCTGAGTAATTTTTTTCCTCTGCCAGAATAAGATGCTTAGCACCTGTGATGTTTATGAAAACTGGCAGAAGCTACATTCAGTACTGCAAGGGATGGGATAATTCTATTAGATACATTCTCATTTTCAGGCTAAGGTCATCTTCAAAAAGATGAAGCTGGTTGGAGGCATTGAAATCATACTTTTTTTTGGGGCAAGAAATCCTTGATTTCATATGTATTTTATTTCTATGCTTTCTTCATTCTTTGTTGCTTCTGTTTGAGAGGTAGCAGTCCCCCTTCAGAGCTAAGGACGCTTGATGCAGCAAAGCTTCTGTAATACTGGCAGGCTGGTTCTGTTTATTTTGAACAGACTATTAGTTTCCTGCCTGTAGATTAGATCCCTCATAGGGGAATTTGTACAGCCCCAGCCAGCCACAATGATTCCCATCACTGCTGCATTTACTCTTCTTCTGTGTGGGTGAGCTCACGACTTACTGCCTGAGAGCTGAGCAGTGTGAGCAGGTATTGAAGTAACTTGAGGGAGCAGTGTCCTGAGCCCTGCTGAAGCCAGGAGGCCTCCACACAAATATTCACAATGGCTGTTTTTTGTTACTTTGTTGCTCCTGCAAATATCTCTGCAGCTGCTGAGAAGCTCATGCTTCGGTTAAATGCAGAGGGAATTTGTTGTATCTGCCTGGATAGGCACACTGAAGGAGAAGTGGGCAACTGGTGAATATAGCATGTTCTATTTAAGTGTCACTTAGCATCATGTATAATGATAGATGTATAATAATTCTTTGCCTGATGCTTTGCTGCTTTCCTTGGTGTTGAAATTGACTTTTCCTTTTGTAAAGGCTTTAATCTATGATTATTTTATCTTGATGCTGTTTAAGTGGAGTGCATCTCTTCTGCAATCTTTTAAAACACTCTAAATGCAAGTGTGCCCAGAGCTGGGATTCCTGTCTTCCTTTACCTAAAATATCTGTGTCAGAGTTATTGGGGAAATTATTTTGAATTTCTATGACTTGTATGTAATCTTCTGTGTTACAGAAACATTACTCTTGTTGGCTTTTATTTTTGAGAAGTACTGCTTGCAAGTCTCCAGATATTTCTCTACATATGTGCCCAGGCATTTTTTTTTTCTTTTTTAATTTTTTAACTTTCTCTGCTATCCCAGTGTCTTCTGGGCTACTTACCAAATTTTTTTTCTGTAATGCCAGGTTTTAGATGTCAACTCCAGGTGGCTTTTTGGGGAGGGGGTTGACACTGAATATTTTTTGGGAATGGGGAACTGTGAAAGTTTGCATGGAAAATCCTAGTTCCTGAGCATTCTGTCATGAGAACAATGCTGGAGCTGTCCTATGGTCCCCTTCCGAAAGGGGCCACATGTTGCTGGCTGGCTGGAGCTCCCTCGATCAGCCAAGGTGTTGCTGCTGCAATAGTGACTGGGTATGCCCCTCAAGTCTTTGCCCTACTGCACTTTGAGCTGCTCCTTGAGGATTTATGCAACTTATCTGGGGGAAAATGGTCTATTCTGTACTTGTGACCTTAAAAGATTAAGTCACAATACTTACTATAAGCTCTTAAAGAAGGAGAATTTTCTCTACTGCCAATACAGCCACCTGTTTAACTGGTGTTTTTTCACTGTAACAAGAAGTACTGCTTCAATGGGGAATATCCCAGGAGCTTGCATGGGGGCTTTCTGTGTAAGGGATCACTTGACTGAAAGCTTCCAGAAGTCAGCATCTCTGCCGCAGGAGTCCCTTAATCTCATATTAGGCACAGGAGGCAGCTGATAAGACTGTCCTGTGCTTGGCAGCTCAGCTTTGGCAGTGATTTGCTTCTCTTTCAGCAAGGAGGCCAACAAGCTCTTGCTGTTGGGTAAACTGGCAGTAAATCAGCCCTGGCTTTCCTACCCTGTGGGCCCATCAGAGCTAGCACGACGCAGATCTCCTAATTGACCTTGGAGAAAACAGTTACCACCTGGCTTAGTGTAAGTGGCACTCAAGTAGAGTGGGCAGCAGAGACTGGCCTTGGCAGGTCCCATGTGATGCTGCTTTGTGCTGTTCTGGTTTCTGTGTTGGCTGTCGAGGCCAGTCCTTGCACTGCACCTAATCTAAGCCAGTGGTGCTGCACCGGAGCTTGTTTGTTGGTAATACCAATCTGTCAGCCTTTAAACTGAAGAAGCTTGATTACCACTGTTGCTCTCTAAGCATTGATTTTGCTGTTCAGTCTAGACCTCTTCATTAAGTACATGTGGTCAAGCCATAGTGCTGCAAAGGGCACGAATTAAGTAGGCCTTCTCACATGTTCAGCACTTCATATTTCGGGAGAGACAGTGAATACCATATTAGTTTGCATATGTTTAGCTCTGAGCTTTGCAGGGAAGAGATGCCTGCTACTTTGTTGAATGCTTTATCTGCCACCAGTTTGCTGTGGGTTTCTCAGCAATGATCAGGTCTGTAATTCACAATTAAATAGCATGAGGGACACCCCTTATATTGGAGTAAGCAATGTTTTCCCCTGTACCTTGCTCACCTAGCTATGTGTAAGTGTTGTGTGGAGCATGCAGAGGAGCACACAAGTGATGGTGAACATTCAAATGCTGAACCTGAAGCAGTTAATGTTGTAGCACTGAATCAAGACAGCTTCTGCTGAGAAACTGTAGTCATCGTGTTTTAGTAATGAGCTCAAAGCATTTCAACATCTGCTCTCAGGGAAAAAAAAGTAGTGTGGGGGATCTTGTTTGTTTGCCTGCTTTCAATCAGGAAGAATCATTTTGTTTTTATATCAGTCTCATAAAAAGGGCATAGGCAACAGACACTCATCCATCATAGTGATGCATGGTTCCTGTGTAGTTTTTAAACTGCCCTACTTTTACCAGCTTACTTCTGGCATTTGACATCTATCCATCCACTGGTGGATTTCATCCCCCGAATACAGGCCTAACTGGATATGAGCAGAGGTGAATTGCATAGACTATAGGAAACTGGTCACACACAGCAAGTTTCATCCATATGCTTCCCAGAGTGTACAGATAGATAATATAGGACTATGGTCTTCCTTACTATACCCTTGCCCGCAAGTTATGGGCACTAGGCTGTGCTGGTCTACTGTGATGTGCTCGGACATCTCCACTTGCTGTTGTGGTTCTGCTCGTGTGTGGTCTCTGTATGCATTGCTTTAGGCAACTGTGCAGTAACTGCAGCATGACTGATCCTTTACTGATGGGTCTCCACCAGAGCTTGAGAGATTACAGTAATTGTCTATGTCTGAGCATCTCAAAGTTGAGCATTCAAGGCTCTCTTGGAGCCTTTAGGCAGCCAAAATGGCACGAGGTGCACTTAAATGGCTGGATGTTCTCTAGTGAAATAGCTGAAGTGGACAAGGGAAGGGAGTGTTTTTTTTTGTTTTGTTTTTGTTTTTTTCTTTGTCCCTAGCAGTCTGGCATGGGTTTTTGTTGCTGTTGTTATTGCTTCTCAGCCCCCACCAAAAAAAACCATAAATGACTAGTGTCCAGTGATATTGACACTTGGGAGAACTGACCTCTTCTCGGTGCTAGCACTCACAGTAATCCTTCCTCTAAACAAATGTTCCCTGTGCCTGTTGTACACCTGGGAGGTGTTGAACCTGGAGCTGAAGCTTTGCTGGCATGGCAGGGAACAGACTGGGTGTCTCAACTTTGCTGTAGAAAGCTGTGTGCAGCAAAGGAGGCTTGGCTTGGCCGGAGGGCTGACAGAAAACATTTTTGAAAAGTTGGGCAGATGCTGCTGGTATCAGTGTGGCCTGCCTAATAATAGGCGATATTCATGCTGTGGCAAGCAGGAATAGGTATTTGATTGTGGAGCAGGACTTGGGAATCCTTTGAAGCAGGGAGGATTTCCACTGGCTTTACTAGTACGTTCCAGCCATACTGTATGTTCGGATAACACTTTTAGACAGGCTGTGTAGTTCAAGCTTTGAGTGAAGAGGAGTTGTGCATGTGTGTGGTTTTAAGAGCCTAGAAAAGATGTTAAGCTACCAACAAAAAGTAATGCTTTGCCTGCATGTCTTCCCTTCTGTGTTTCAAATGGGAAATAGTACTTGTCATCTTCTGAAAGCAGTGAAGGTATAAATTGTAAGTGTCAAGTGTCTTGATGCAATTTGTAGATAACACTGCAGAAATTTTCTTCTGTATTTGTGCATCTCCTGCCCATGTAGTTACCATAACACCGCAGGATATTGATGTATCTAATCCCCCACTCTGCATCTGGCAGCAGCCATTAGCTAGTACTCAGGAGACAGGTAAAAATAGATTAAAAACCACCATGTAAGTAGTCCAGTGCTCTGTTACACAGAAGATAAAAATGCTTTTATACTCTTGAAACAAGTTAAGTAATCTTTGTGCAATTCTTGACCTAGTTAGTATATCTGCAATTATTACTTCTGCTACTAAACTGACTGCGGTTAACTAACTTCTCTGGGGTGTGTGTGTGTAGGTTAAAATAAAATAGTAATAAAAAATAACTATTTCTAGCCATGACTTCTTTCTCTGACCAGATTTATTGTGTGTCCTTGGAGACAAATTGCTTTGGACTTTCATCTCCTCCCTCTCACATATTCTGCCTCTGTGATATTCCACCTCTGCCATCCCCTCCTTCTATTTGTTTATCCCAACCCATAGGTGATATTTTTGGAAGAGGACTGTTCCTGATTTTGTAAAATTTCATCCCTTTTTTGACCCAGTATCTTCGTAAGTAGACCTCAGAGATCTGGGGAGGGGAGCATGATTTTTTTCTGCTACTCTATTCATCCAAAAGAACATCAGTCCTGGCTGTCTATTAGGTGTTACTGTAAATGTTACTGATTGTTTTGCAGTGACACGATTATTTCTAGTGCTACATGATTAACCTTTGTTTCAGATTCTTAAGTAGATCAAATATACCCATTCCTATTACGAACTTAATTTGCCAAATATTTAGGAATTTGAGGCTGTGAATGTGCAAAGATGCTTTTTCCTTATGAATGAAGATCCTAGAGCAATACTTATATCATCAAGAAGAAAAATGGTATCCTTGTTAGTGAAGGAGGCTCAGTTCTTGCAGAATTTCTAGTAAAGATATGTCATAGACTTCAGTGGGGTTACTGTGGTTCATAAAGGCAGTGAAAGAGAAAGAAATGAGTGAAAATTGCGTTATCTGAGTTTCTTAACTGAAGACTTTTTTTTTTTTTCTTTTCAGGTGTGGTAAGGGGTGGAATATGAAATACGTATTTCAGTTAGTTTCATAAACTTGAATACTTGATTTAAGTCCAATTCAACTTCCAGTGCTGAAAGAGTGCAGTGAGACTACCCCAGGATACGTGCATACACTTGAAACAAAAACATAAATGCTAAAGGAATTGAAAGACTTCATTTGGCCTTCCCTTTGTTTTCACCTCATGCATGTTCAGACTGTCCAAACAAACATGAAAATATTTTTTTAATTAATTTTTTAACATTACTCCAATATTTAGTAATAGATATTTAAGGAAACATTGCTGTCTTGAGATATGCAATTTAATCTGCTAGAAAAGACTTTTAAAATATTATCATAGAATATCCTGAGTTGGAAGGGACCCGTAAGGATTATCAGGTCCAACTCCTGGCACCACACAGGTCTGCCCAAAAGTTTAGACCATGTGACTAAGTGCACAATCCAAACACTTAAACTCCGACAGGCTTGGTGCAGTGACTGCTTCCCTGGGGAGCCTGTTCCAGTGTGCAAGCACCCTCTCAGTGAAAAACCTCTTCCTGATGTCTTGCCTGAACTTCACCTGCCTCATCTTGACACCATTCCCACAGATCCTATCACTGGTGTTTACAGAGAATAGGTCACCTGCCTCTGCACTCCTTGTGAAGAAGTTGTGTATTAGATGTGCTTGCTCCTGTTGTGTAAGTTGAATGCAGGTGTCAGTGGTCCCCAGATTGTTTCCTTGATTGTCCTCCCCTAGGATTATCCGGGCATGTCCAATTTCAGCTGTTCCACATTGACTGCGGACACTTTACTGCTGCTGTCAGCCTCTGGCACCTGAGCTTTGTGTCACAAAGTCTAAAATGTAATCTTGTAAGTCAGACCTAAATACAAAACTTTTTAAAACAAAGCTTTGGTCCGGAGGAGGGCGATGAGGATGATCAGAGGGCTGGACCACCTCTCGTATGAAGACAGGCTGAGGGAATTGGGGTAGTTTGGCCTGGAGAAGAGTGGTCTTCCAGTGCCTATAGGAATCCCACAAGAAAGCTGGAGAGAGTCTGTTTATCATGTCCTGTAGTGATAGGGCAAGTGGTAATAAAGTTAAGCTGAAAGAAGGTAAATTTAGGTTAGGTATAAAGGAAGCAATTATTGAATATGGGGGTGGTGAGGCACAGAAGTTGCCCAGAGCTGTGTATGCCCAAACTCTGGAAGGTATCCATGTTCAAGGCCAGGCTGGATGGGGCTTTGTGCAATGGGGTCTGGGGGCAGGGGGTTGGAACTAGGTGGTCTCTAAGGTCCCTTCCCACCCAAACTATTCTGCGATTCTATAAATATCAAGATGGCACGGTATCATGTACAACCTCTGTATGTCTGTGGGAATGTGTCCATTTGATCTGTGAAGGCCTCTGAGCTTTAGAAAGCAAGCACAGCTCTCTTCACGGTCCTGTTTGATGCGCCTCCTACTATTGCGGTCAGTGAGGTGTTGATTCTCCCGTAACCCTGTGTGGTATCTTGGGTTCAGCAGCTTACTGTTGGACACAGAGGGAGTTGAAACAGAATCCGGGAAAGAACACTGCTTGACCATTCCTCTGTGCAAATCTGAGTGAAGAGCACTGCTGCTATGGAAATAAACTGTGGCTTTTGGAGTGTGGAACAGAAGATAAATGTACTTCACACACTATTTGCTCTGAAACAGCTCTTTTGAACAGTGCCTTATTTAGCAGCAGTGCCTTTCAGAAATGATAACTAAGTTGCCAGAAGGAGGTAACCTGCCCGTTTCACCCTGGGTTTGGCCGAGCACCTGCAGGGGCCTTGGTGCCTGCGGCTGGCGCTGTGTGTCATGGCAGTTGTAGTAAGCTTGCAATAAGCTGCGAGAGCTGGAGGAGGAAGAGGCTTACTACAGGCGGCGTAGTAAGGGAAAACAAGCACTTAGCTCCTGGCTTACGTGTTTTAAGACCAGAACGCGGAGCTGGGGAAACTTCACGTGTCCTTCTGCCAGCAGCGCTCCCTGGCACTGAGCCGAGCGCTGGGCAGAGCCCCCCCGGGTTGGCCCCAAATTTCCCCCCGCCCCTCGGAGGGGCCGCCCGGTGCTGGGGGGGCCCGGCCCGGGGGCGGGGGCGCTCGGTCTCCATAGCAGCGCCGCAGCATCCTCGGCATCCCCGGCACCGGCGAGGAGAGGAGCGGAGCGCAGCGCAGCGGGGCTCCCCCGTGCTCCCCAGGGCTGGCTGGGCTCCGAGACCTCCTTCCGAGCAGCCGGAGGGTCCCGGCGCCGCCTCGCACCGTCCCCATCCTCTCCTCCTGCTGCGCTCTCCTCCGGCTTTTTCTGTTATATTTTATCTTTTTTTTTTTTCCCCCTTCCCGGCTCGCGGCAGGCATCGCCCAGCATGCCGATCGCCCACTTGCTGGAGCTATGGAAAGGCATCGAGGTGGAGCCCATGGAGACGGAGGTGAGCAGGGGGGCTGCGGGGACCCCCACCCTCCCTTCCGAGCCCCCCGAGCATTGTGCACCCCCCTCCGCTCCCGGCTCGGAAACCTCTTTGGTGCCCCAAACCCGGAGGGGACCGGGGGACGTCGGGGCAGCCCCGAGGCGCGGTGATGGGCACGGTGTGAGGGTAGCAGCCTGCCTGTGCCGGGGTCGGAAACCGAGGGGGCTTGGGTTCGTGGTGAAAAGGCAGCCTGCGTGGCCTCTGACTTGAGATCGGGGGGAGTCCGGGGTCCTTGTGTCTGTTTTGGGTTCCGAGCATCCCTGAGTCTGGGTAGGCATCGGCACAACTTCGGGGGAAGTCAGACCCTCGGCCGTCCCCTCGAAGCACCAGGCTGTGCTTAAAGGGTCGTACTGGAGGCAGGTAACGCTGTGATAACTGCCTGGCTGCTGTGGTACACGTGCTCATGATTTATCCTGTAGTGTGTTTGCTACCTGTGCTTTAGGACTCTTGTGTCTAGGAAGGGATCGTCATTTGTGCAGTGACAGGCACACTGGGTTCTCCAGCACTTCTGTCGCTCTTTAGTAGAGCAATAAAAGTGATGTGTTCTTAGCCAACTGTTTCCTGCGCAGGGTTGTAGGGCTGTACTAGGTGATGTAAACAGACCAGTAAAACTTGGGAGGTGTGTGGACGGGTTTGTCTTGTACTACTGAGTTTCGTTTACTCTTGCAGGTTTCCCAAGCTCTTTGGCCAGAGCTCTGAAATGGATTTTGGTTGGGGGGTGGGAGGGAGAGGTAAATTAAATTTCCAGGCTACAGGGAAGGTACAGTACTTGTCTTAAAAGCTGAGTTGCTGAACTCTGGAGAAGGTTTTTGTATGAAGTGTTAGCTTAAATACCTGAGCAGTACAGTAGAAGCGATACTATAGTGTGTAATACTGGTACAGCTTGTTGTGGAATCCTTAGGTTCAGAAATAGTTTGGGAGCTCAGATAGATTTGCACTCTGTAATTCACTCCCTTGAATAAGTGTTGCCTCTTGCTCCAATCTGTGCTGTGCAAGAAGTCTGAGTGCTAACAGACAAGATCTGGGTAATGCATATTTTTCTCAATTTAAAGTAGTCAGCTGGCACCTTGTTGAGCCACTTTCTCAGTGAGGAGACTTGTATGGCTGTATGTGTTATGAACAGTTCTCTACTGGACATCAGAGAAATTGCGCACTTCTTTTTCAAAACCAGGTCTGCCTCCCCATTAACCACAGCATTCAAAGTCCATGTGCAAGGTTGTTCTCTTCCTCCATCCTAAAACTAATTGTTGTGTGGGTTCCTCCAGCATTTTTCTTTATGCCCTAGACAGAAAACACTTCAACTGTTGCCCAGATTGCTTTATCTGTATCAGCCCCTGGGAAGAACATCCCTGAATAGTAGGATGAGCTCTCAGCTCTGCACTAAGTCCCGGTGACTGTTGCTTGAGACAACTTTCCACTTTCATCTCCCTTGCTTGGGGAGCATTTTTGTCCTTTTTCCAGTAAAAGGGATGAAACTATAAGGGTCTCCTTATCAAGTGTAACTAACCCTTTACAAAGTTAGTTAATCAGATGCTTTTTGTTTAGTGTTTCCTGCTTTCAGGAATACTATAGTTATGAGCTATATTGAGATGATCAGTCCTTGTAAGATTTCAGCTATAAAAAGTTTACAGATGATTAAGGAATTACAGGTGTAAACTTTTTGTGGCTTAGATAAGAACAACAGATAAAGCACCACTTAGTCTCTTTAATTTATTGGTATCTTTTAAGCACATTAAATACACGCTAGAACTTATAACCCTCTAAAGTCATATTGTGGAAGTCATATTCTCCTAAAGAATCATTTGCTCAAATCTAGTTAAGGAGCGTAAAAATTAATTTTGTCTCTCATGGGCTATTGTCCTTGAAGACCAGTCATCTTTTCCATCGGTGATGGCAATGACTCTTTAATGAGTTGGCTGCAGCTTAAACATTTGTGATTGAACCCCTTCTAGGGAGCTGTCATGGGCTCTGAGTCTGTGTGGGATAAAATGTTTTCATGACTGTCTGCAAGTTGTTCTTTTTCACGGAAGCTTTTCACAGTTGGTAGACAAGGAGGGAGACAGTTCCGCTGTCTTATACATATGGACCTGCTTCTCGTCCCTCTCTTGATGCCAGAAAACCTTTTAAAATAGATGCATTTAAGAGTGCCTGTGCATGACTTGGGTGAATGACTTGCAGATATTAAAGACAACATTTATTGTAAATCAATTGTTTCATAAGGAGGAATGCGTTGACGGCATATTCTGTATTATGTTTTGCAAGGGGAGATTGGAACAAAGTCCTATTTCTTTTACCTGTTGACTCAGGAGGTCATTAATTGTCTGACAAGTAAGCAAGAACACTGATATTTGCTGGCTCCGGAATTTCTTTGTGCTTATTCAAAGTTATTGATCCCTCTCAAGCTGGATGATTGGGGTAGCAAGTTACAGCCTTGGAAGTGTTTTCCCAAGGAATGGATGCATTCTCAAGCTCTAATCTTTCAACTTGTTTCCTAAAGGGTTTGTCACGTAGACTTGAGCTGAGCATGAAAAGTTAAATGTTAATATTCACATGGAATTTGAGTGCTTGGAAAATCTTTTCCAAGCATACATATATTCTCTCTTCTCCTCAGCAAGAAATACTCTTCTTGTTCTCCAGTTTAGCTTATTAATGAATAATCTGGTTTAATTCTTCATTCATTCTTGTGTATTTCTATGACAAACCCAGCTTTGATAATTCATCAGCAATTTTAGTATCAGTGTTCTATGTGCTTTCTCTCAGAGAGATAAATATAGTAAATATAGAGTAAGTATATACCTCTAAAGGTGCTGACACCTGAATAAGTAATGTGCAGACTCAGCAAATAGTATGTAGTTTTATCTTAGTTTATGTATCTCTCTGAGAGAAAGCAGATCCTCTTGGATTCAAAGGTTAATTTGTCAGTGTTAAGTGGGAATAACATGCCTGGTGTGGTAGTACAAATTTGGAGTGATTTAACAGACTAAATGTAAACTGACTACATTTTGCACTAAATCTTGGCTTAGGGCCATACCTATGCAATAATGCAATATTATATATGCAATAATGTATATTTACGATATGTTTTTCCTTTTTTTTTTTTTTTTATCTTTTCATTAGCCTGTGGTGGAAGATGTTACCCTGGATGAAGAACCTGTAAAAGAGGTAAGTCTCTTTGTCTCCCATATATTAGTAAACTGTTATATCATCTCTTTGCCTTCATGGAAATAAAAGCTCTCTCTCTCTCATATCTGCATGCTTCAAGCCCTGAAGATGCAAGAAACAACCTGGTTTTAGTCATAGTCATCTAACTGGAGGCTAGAGAGTTTTATTTTACAGATATTGTTTTTCTACTAGCTTTCTAATGAAGGGCACACAACTTCCCTAGATCTATATCTTTCTTGCAGACAAAATTGTGTAATGGCTTCAGGAAGAGTAGCTGTCATCATAACACTGCTTCTGTATTGTGAATTGTACCTGCTTAATCAGCTCTATATGCTATTAAGCTTTGAATTCATTCCTGTTCATCTATTAGGCTGGCACTTCCTCCAGCACAAGATCAAGTTAACCTTTTAATGAGTTTATTATTTGCATTATTGTAGCATTGTACTATTGTGCTATTTTTCTACAAAGAATTGAAGGAAAACGATTATTGTCTCAAAGATCTTAAATGCCAAATAGAACGTGATAAGAAGATACAAAGCAAGTGAGAACAAATCAACATTCATTATTATGATGAGCCAAGTGCAAAACTTGACTATAAAACTTGACTATAAATTGGGCTGCTGCTGAACACAGGTGTCAGTAAAAGGTACTTCTGCAGGTCTGAGTAGAGTAAACAAAGGGTGCTTGAAAGATAATTAGAAACTTCCTTATTTCAAAAAGTAAAGGAGACTTAAAATCTCTCCAGGGCTGAAGGGAGATTACAAATATGTTTCCCTAAATTGCCACTTCTAAAAACACTAAGCTCCTGTTTCCTAACTTCCAGCAAGCTTCTCTTACTCTTTGGAATTTCACATTTTACCTTTGTGATGCTTGGGTTTTGGTAGAGGATAAGTTTTTCTTGCTTTCTGCTATGCCAAAGGAAAAGTTTCAACCTGATAATGTTAGAAAGTGAAATAAAGTCTCAGTTTTGAGCTCTGTGAAAGAGATATAACTTCAAAGTGTAAATTTCTCCACTTTTTCCATTTTAAAAAGGACAAAAATTATTTTCAAAAAGCTGGGGGCTGAAATTAATTGCAGGTAACTGGCCTCGTCACATTATCTTTTCAGAATATTGCTGAGGATTAAAATTCTGGGTAGTGGACTCCTGAGCTTTAGGAGGATTATTTTTGCTTCATTTCCTAAATGAATTTAAACCTAGTTAATTTTCATTAGGGATGCATCTTATGATTCTTAAGTTTTAACTTTGGTGGAAAAAAAAAGTGTTTAATGATTACTTAGAGAAAACAGGACTGAGGTTTCTCTCTCTCTCTCTCTTTTTTTTTTTTTTTTTTTTTTTTTAAATGCGTTTACTGCTTTAAGTATTACAATTTGCTATTTGGTATCTGTAATTGTGTTTATCTCCTGTATGTCTGCTCCCACTTCAGTAATTGCTGTGTCTGTGTTTCAAATGGGAATGAGGTCCTTATGCCTGGCTGAAAAACCTGCTGTAATTATGCATTAGAAAACATGCACACGGTGACTACTAACAAATCCTTGGCAGCGAAATATGACAGTGAAATGTAGAAGTGCCCTCACTATTCACTGAACTTCACTCTGTGTGGTTTTGTTATATAGTTCTACAGAGAATATAATAAGAAACTTTTTGTTTTCTTCTCCCCTTCCTCTGCTGCTGTCATGTTATTTCAGACTTTGGCTGGCTTAGTCTGTAAGCCCATTTTATTTCTATGAAGCTTGCATCTTACTGTAGTGCTCTTGAAGAGAGCTGACTGCAGCTGAGGTGACTCTTACTGATATCCTGACTGTGCCCAATCTCAAAGAGTTTTTCCATAAACCATTGAAGTATGACTTAAGGGGTGAATTGAAATCATGTAATGCAATAGGTGACATTTGCTCAGAGGACATTTGTCATGAGCTTGCTTTAGGCTACGTAGGCTTCCTGCTGTTTCTCTTATCAAATGTATGGTACAGACAGATGAGATGATGACAAATGAATTATAGAAACAGTACTTCATATTCTTCTGAGGGTTGATCTTGCTGTTGGAGAAGTTCTTTAATGTCTTGGAGGGCATAGTTGATTAATGGGATTTTTGGAAACAGCAAGTGTTTGAGGCACGTTTCATTTCCAGAGCAGCATGTGACAGGGCTGCTCTAGAACTGTGTACCTGGGCTACTTAGGGTTGCTCTCATCAAGGTATTCCTCGAGCAGGCCCTCCTAAAACCATGGACTGCTTGTCCTGTCACAAAGGCAAGCAAGTTGGCTGATGGGAATTTCCTTGAGAGGGAACTTCTAGCTTGTGGAGAAGTCTTCGTTTAGACTTGTGGGATCCAGTTTTTCCATAAGGTGATTCTTTTTGACAAACTGGTCAAAGAGAAATATACTTATATAATATTTAAATATATATAAACATATTTTATTTATATATATATATATATATAAATACAAAATAGGAAATAATAAGCTTGACCACATATTAGAGGCACAAACACATACTTAAAGGCACTGTGCTTTGTGGTCTGGTCTAGGTCCAAGTTAAGCATTTATATTCTATCTAAATTCTTCCTTGAAGTTGCAGTTGGCAGCAATGTTCTTTGTCACATCCTTAGACAGTGAGCATATGTGCAAGATGGCTCATAGCACTCTGAAATTGCTGCATTTGAAGTTAGTGTTACTTTGCTTCAACTTATTTCACCCTTACAAGCGGGGTGGGGTGGGGGTTTGCATGCTCTAGCTGAAGGCTTGTAGGGGAGTTTCAGGAAAGTAGAGGGGAGAGATGCAGTAGAAGTGCTGATAGCCAACCAGAAACAGAACTGTGTAAAACCTCTGGATTTTGCCCTGTGAAATCTGCAAGGCAAAACTGGAAATGTCAGGACCTGGATTTACTGTCAACTCCTGGGCTGAGTTTCCAAAAACACACACAACTTTCTGCTGACACTGCATGCTGTCATGGAAGTGTGAACAATAAAATCAGAGGGAGCAAAGATGGGTGTCCAGAGTTGTCTCATGGAGAGCATGCACGGCAGGCTCTCTGCCTCTGTCCACAGGGGAGATTAATTTATTGAATCTTAATGAAAGACCAAACTCTAATGACACTAACGATTTTATTAAAGTTACACATAGAAGTGATGGTATTATTTCTTAGCTGAAGAAATATGTGTTGTGATCATACTGAGGACAGCATAAAACCTCCCATAACAGTGAAGACTTGATGTTCATTGCTCTAGTGCTGCTACCATGATGATGATGTCCATAGTGAAACAACCCCGTTTTCTCAGCCCCCCCATTTTTTTCAGATGCTCTCATTCCTTATCGCTTTTGTGGTGATCCACTTTGGGCTTGCTTCAGTATCTCATGGACTGGAGAGCCCAGAACTGGACACAGCACTGAAGATGTCTCACTAGCCCTGGGTAGAAGGGAAGGATCATCCCCCACAACCTGTTGGCAATGCCTTTTTCCAATGCAGTCCCGGTCTGCTGTTGACTTATGTTGCTGAAAGGGTGCATTTATGGCTTATTTTCAACTTGTTCACCAGGACTGCTAGTCAGTGAATGACTTTAACTGTGAGTCCAGATTTTATGCTGCATGCTGATCTGAAACAGAGACCCGTACAAGTCTTCCAGGGATCACGTGATTCTTTATCTAAATGTAGATACTGAGTGAGCTCAAATGCAGGTCCTCATCTGATTACTGAAAAATGATGACCTTGCATACATCGTTACAAAATTACACTAGTGACAGATTTAAGAAGCAAATTATGGGCACTGTTCTCCTTCTCGTTTTTGTTTCCTGAAGAGTATACTATAAAGGCAATATAAGTTGTTTAACTCTTGTGTTCTTGTGTTGAAGGGGTTTTTGGATCTCCAAGACTTATTTTTTATGGAGGGTTTGATATGTAATAACTTTGATCTTAAATCACTTTTTTTTTTTTTTTTTTTTTTTTTTAAATTTTGGGGGATTCATCCACAGTGTCTAATTTTTTTAAGCTAAACTGCAGTTTGTTCTGGGATGAATATTGAACTCAGTTTATGCTCCATTTTGTATCTAGTTATGTAGAAAACATCCTGGTGGAGGTGAAGGGTTATTCCACAACTGACTTTGTACTTTCTGCAGCTATTGTGAAGATGCTGATGACCTACGGTGAGTGACTACCTGTGTTAAAACACCTAGAGAATTCTTGACGGCTGACACATCCAGTTTCTCAGAAGCCTTGATCTTGGTGAACCAAAAATGAATTCAGGGTGAATATGCACTGAGACACTAATGAGGAAGTGTGATGGGTTCCTAGCTATGAAACAACATAGCTGGTAATTACAATAGGTGTCAGAATTTTCCTTGCCTCAGATTACAGCTGATGGTCACTCCTGCTGAAGTGTGACTCGTATGTGTGCTGGCCATGGTCATCTCAAGTGTTTAATGAATCAGGACTTTGTTGTGGGAGTGATCTCACCTCTCTTCTTGATGATACAAAAAGTATTGCTGTAGTGGGATGGTGCAACTCACATAGTTCAGGGAAATTTTGTGTGTGAGGTTCTCCCCCACATTTTTTTTTTTTTTTTTAACTCCAAAGTGAACATCAAAGCAATCTCAACTCTGATTCAGTTAATCAGACAGGCACTCAGTATGTAGCAATATTTGCATTCTAAAGCTCTTAAAATAATCTTCACAGACTGGACCATAGTAGTCATCACTGAGCAAATGTCATGCTGAATGGGGAAAAGAAATCCTACAACTGTATGTGAGTTGTCAAAGAGTTAGGATGCTTGATTTTGAACAAGGATTAAAAAACAAACAAACAAACAAAAAAAAACAAAAAAAAAACTGTGGGAAAACTATTCCCTCATGAAAATGAACCTGTCCCACAACGGCAGCTACCTGCCCAAGAGTGTGTGTTAGCTGTGAGCTCCTTGTGTCATCAAGAATGATGAGTCACTTGGAAGTCCCTGGAGTCAAGGATAAACTGTTTCTGTGATGTGTATGGTACCTCCTAGAGAGCTGTGGTGCT